ATAGCTGCACTGGGGAAATTCGGGGATGCTCAGTTTCATTTCAGTGTCAGGCTGGGGAGATCTCATCTCCATCTCCAGAGGAGAAGAGTTTGCAATAATTCCTTTGCCATCCTCCCCTCCCAGCCCTTGCAGATGCACACAGGCCTATTGTCAGATGATTTTTCCTGAGGTTCTCTGATAGCCATCACATGAACACATAATTCAGTGATTTCTTCATGTGCCTAGAAATGTTGCCTAATTGCAAAATCTTTGTTCATAATGGGAGATAAACTGATACTCCCCTTTGATTAACCTTCTGTCTCACTGCGAACCAGAAGCATCACTTACATTTGTTATCTGTTCATTTTTAACCCAAACTAATTTCTTCTGGCTTTATTAAAACTAATTAGTTTGCCTGAGGACCAAAGATCTCTCACCATTCCTTGGAACAAATAAATATATCATGAGAAAACATAAGCAAGAATGGAAAATTAGTTCAATAGGAATAGAAAATATACGCTAATGAAATTCATAATAAGTGGAAATACAGTTGACAGTGTCTGGACTCAAGTGTCTGAAGTGCTGGAAATTTTTTGCGTAGTTTTAAAACGTTCTCCAAGGTTTTGTTTTGCACAGAGAGTTACAATTGCCTTGTGAGAGATCCATTTCTTTCTTCATGAACAGATTTTCCACCCCGGGTTTGCTGTTCACTGTGATTGGGAGAGTTCAGAAGTGCTGCTGCTGTCTGGGATGGCTCAGGAGCTTCTGCACAAAGATGACACCTGAGGCTTGCTTTAATCAAGTACAATGGTTTTTGTTCAGTTCTGCTAAGCAGCAGTTTGAAATAGAGAACATAAGAGGTTCTTTGTGCTTGGTGGTTTTCAGTGTTCCTTTCTTTTTCTCTTTTCCTCTCCCCACAGCCTTTCCTGGGAACTTCCTGGGCTCTGCATTTACAGCTGCCTCAACAACTGGTTCTTATGAAATGAAAAAATTTAAAATGACGAGGCTAAAGCTAAATATTGTGAGCATTGGGATGATTGTTTGTGACCTTAATTCAGCAGGAGAAACGTTCAGCATTTAGCCTGGTGCAGTCCTGTATTCCAGTGGAGTGATGATCTTTACTCTGCCCAGAGTTTTCTCCCTGCTGGGGTGGTTGTCCCTGCCCAGCTCTTGGCTGGGTTTGGGGGTTATTTCTCCTTCACTTATTTTCCAGTCAGTTCACAGATCAAGGCTGTTGTGCACCATTATTCCTGCCCTTGCCATTTCTCTGCTTTAGCACAGTTTTCTGCTCCCAGCTGGTTTTGTGCAGAAATGGGCTCTGTGCTCCAGACCCTTCCTGCTCCCTGATGGGCTTCGGGCTCAGCAGCTGCTGTCAGCTTGTTTGTGTTTGAAACAGAGAAATTGGGTTCAAGATCAGCACCAGTGTTGATCTTCCCTTAAAAGAGCACGCAGGGAAAGCACTGGTCCAGAATACTTTGCTTAACTCATACATTTGTTCAGTGTTTCTGTGTACCACTCAGCTTAGCAGATGAAAAATGGATTGTGCAGTCTTACTTGAAGGCTGTAATATTATCTGTTCTGAAAACAGAATTTCTGGAGCATGAAGAGCTGTTTTTGAATGATGCTTCTGGCACCTAATCCTTAAAATTATTCAGCGTATTTTTCTCGCGTCTGTCTTGAAATGAAAAATTATCTTCTGTTTTCAAGTCACTTACAACTTCTAAAAATTGGGCTTAACTTTTCATAGAGATTGCCAAACTTATGCAATATATTAATATAAGTTTCTGCCTGATAAAATGACTCTGAGACAGCTGAATAATTACTGATGTCACCAGAGTTCACACCAGGCTTTTTGACATTTGCATCTCTACGTTCCTTGCTAAAAAATCTGCCAATCTTTGGGAAAAACACGAAGCTTTTTGAGCTGTGGTTGATGTTACGCTTAGGTTCAGTACATTTCATCCTTTTTTAGTGCCACAAGAGTGAATTTTTCACCTGCTGGGGCATGATGTTACCATGACAACAGCTGATCTTGTTTGCTGCTCTCTGCTCTTCGTGCATGACAAGAAGGAAAAGCTTTTTGAGGAGCGTTGGTGAAAGCCAGTCTGGCTAATTGCATTGAAGGGATCAGGAAAACAGATCAGGAAATGGCTCCCTCCGTTTCCAGGGGGAATAAATGTCTGCTGTGGTGAGCAGCAGGAGCAGCGGGTGACAGAGTGATGGGAGCTGGGCTGGGCTGGGCTGGGCTGGGCTGGGCTGGGCTGCGCCTGGGCAGGGACAGACAGACAGGAGGTGACACAGCCTGGACAGGGACAGACAGACAGACAGGAGGGGGCACAGCCTGGGCAGGGACAGACAGACAGACAGGAGGTGGCACAGCCTGGGCAGGGACAGACAGACAGACAGGAGGGTGGCACAGCCTGGGCAGGGACAGACAGACAGACAGGAGGGTGGCACAGCAGGACAATTTTGGCTCCCAGAGGTTTTAGGGCAGTTTTTGATTTTTTTTCACAGGGGTCTTAGGGCAGTTTTTTTCACAGGGGTTTTAGGGCAGTTTTTTTCACAGGGGTTTTAGGGCAGTTTTTGGTTTTTTTTCACAGGGGTTTTAGGGCAGTTTTGTTTTTTCCACAGGGGTTTTAGGGCAGTTTTTTGCACAGGGGTTTTAGGGCAGTTTTCCATGCAGGCAGTGCCCCAGCTCTGGGCCATGGCAGGGGCTGCACTTGTGCCCCTGAGGGTGAGTCAGCTTTGCCTCTCAAATCTAGCTCTTGGAGGAAACAAGAAATGAACTGGAGGTGGTGAACCTGGCCTTTGAAGTGAGTCATTTACAGGGCCAAAATGCAGGAGAAAAGGTCAGAAGAGTGTTAATTTCCTTCTGAGGTCCCTGTAGCCCACAGGTTTTCCCTTGCTCCTGGCTGGGTTCTGTCCTGCACCATCCAAAGCCAGGGCTGTCACAGGGATTAGAGTCACAGAGTTCCAGGGCAGCCCTTCCACCTTACTGGCAGCACTGATTCTCCAAGAAAAAGAACTGCAAATAAATGAATAGGGTACAAGATTTTTTTTAAAAACACAAATAATTGATGGATGAGCAAACTAGCACACAGGACAACAGATGCCTTTCTGCAGGCAATGCAGAACCTTGTTACCCAGACAGTGCTGTCAGGTTCTATTAAATCCACCAAAGCCATCCTCCTGCTGGGAATTCTTTACTCAGTCCTCACATCCACAGGAGGATTTTTACTTTTGCTGTCTTGCAAGCTTTCACTGCTGTCTAAATACATAAAAATACATTCTGTGTATTTAACTGAGGCTGCAGTTAGGACCTTGACGTTCAAGGCCAGGTTCCTCACTCTGGCTGCACGTCTGGCTGGCCTGTCCTGCAGGACAGGGATGCTCTGCCAGGCTCTGGGTGATGAACAGGCACTGAAAGGAGGGTGAAGTGTGTGAACACAGAGGTGTGTCCATTCCAGCTGTTGGCTTTTGCCCTCAGGGGCCTTCTGGACCCCTGCCCTGCTTTATTTCCTGGCAGTGGAGTCTCTGCTGCCAGCTCTGGGGGAGGCAGCCAAGGCTGGGCTCTTTGCTGCCTCCCAGGGAGGTTTTTATTGTTATTTTTCAGGCCCTCTCTGTTTGCTTGCACATCTTGGATCAGATCATCACGGGGTGGATGGCAGGGCTGCCTGGAGCTGCTGCTGCTGCTCCCAGCAGCTCCTTAGCCCCAAACCTGGGAGGAAGGGAAAAGGAAAATCCGTGTGCAGAAAAAAAAAATCCTGAGGTTGGCAATAATTGCATCAGATCTTGTGGAAAACACGATTTGTTCCCTTTTCCTCTCTTTTTTTCTGGCCCACTGCACTCCAAAGAGCCCTTCTGCAGGGCTGAATGCAAGGGCTGGCTGTGGCCATTCTCATTGTTTGGTCCATGGCAAAATTTGCAAGTTAACAAACTGCAGCCAGAAGGCAAATAACGAGGCTGGATCAGCTTTCAAAACATGGCATTGGAAAATGGCAAACAAATAAAAAACAAACCCCAGACCAAGCAAACAAAACCGAAATAAAAACAAACAAAACAAACCAAACAAACGTTGCTTTGTCCTTACCTTCTGCAAACACTGCAGGAAAGTGGCAATGTAAGTGAAAATAATATTGGGGATTTACCCAGGTGTTTATTCCTGCTTGATTCTTTCTTCACGTAAAAGATGCAGTTTCTGGTATGATACAAGCTGTAATAATCCTGTTATGCATCAATACAGATCTCAAACTCATAAAGTGATCAGGGCTAAGAAATCAAATTTCCGGCTGATCTGAATTAGAGGAAGAACTGTCCTGTGGCAGGCTGAAGCAATTCAATGTATTTTTTTGTTTTCTGTGTCTGTTTATGAAGCAGTCACTGATTATTCACAAAATCCTGTATAAAAACACTTGATCCTGCTGAACTGGTTAACATAGGACCAAATGAATTAAATCATAAACCAAATCTTCTGTAGTGAGTATCTGATCCTTTAATACCTTCTGTATGGAAATGTTTTAAGGAGAGAAAGGGGTTTATTGCAGAAGAATACTGATTTTTGAGTTGCAGGTACACTGAATTCAAGTGCTAGCACAGGCTGGTCATGTGTATTTGAGTTTATGCTGAAGTGAGATTACACTTAAAAGAGTCCAGAAGAAATGGAAATTTGAGTTTTATTAAATATATATATATATATGTGTGTTAGATCTCTGCCTCTTTGTGTAGCACACCCATCTCTGAGGCCCCTGAGGTGCAGAGAATGTAGAAATGTTTTGATTGTCATTCATTTAGTGTGTGATAGAGTGTGTTTGTTTAATTTACACGGTTGTGCATAGCTGCAGTTTGGCTGCCAGCCTGCAGTCCCTGCTGAGGAGCTGTTCTGTGTGAGACAGGCACATTCCCTCCTGAGGTGCTGTGCTTTTCCCCGTTTCCTCTGAGCCTCTTCCTCTCCTCACTTTGGCACACAGAGATCCTGTGCCAGGTGTGTGTTTCCTGCCCTCTCTGCAGCCTGGGCAGTGACCCTGTTTTGTTTTTCCAGGTAAAATCAGACTATGACCATCTTCGAGAAGCCCTTCTCAGAGTGACCAAGGAGCGAGATTTGGCTGTGAGGGGAAAACACCAGCTCCAAGCCAAGCTGGAGAACTTAGAGCAGGTCCTGAAGGTGTGTATAAGCCCAGATCCCATCAGCCCTGTCCTTCCCCTGCTCTCCTGGCTCCCTGGTGCTCAGCCAGGGCTGCGCTGCAAGCCTGGCACTGAATGCCCCTCTCAGCTGGGATCAGGGCTGGGAATGAGAGCCCCAGGCACTGACAGGGGTCTCAGAGCAGCCCAGAGGCACCCAGAGACCTCTGTCTGCCTTATCAGCACCTGCATGTACACTGCACTGCACAGGAAAAGTCAAAATTGGAAAGAGAGGATGGGAGCCTCAGCAAACTCAGAGAGCTGTGTCTCCCAAACCCTAACCCCAAACCTAACCCCTAACCCTAACCCAAACCCTAACCCCAAACATAACCCCTAACCCAAACCCAAAATCTAACCCCTAACCCAACCCTAACCCTAACCTAAACCTTGACCCTAACCCTAACCCAACCCAAACCCAACCCTAACCCTAACCTAAACCTCGACCTTAACCCAACCCAAACCCAACCCTAACCCTAACCTAAACCTCGACCTTAACCCAACCCAAACCCAACCCTAACCCCTAACCCCTAACCCTAACCCAAACCCCAACCCTGACCCTAACACTAACCCAAACCCTAACCCCCAACCCTAACCCCTAACCCCTAACCCTAACCCCTAACCCAAGCCCTAACCTAACCCCTAACCCTAACCCCTAACCCAAACCCCTAACCCAAACCTAACCCAAACCCCAACCCTGGCCCTGCTTACCCAGCAGGCAGTAACAGCTCACTGCAGGTTACAAATGAGCTGGATAAAAGTCTCTCCTGTAGACAGTCAGAGATATTTTGGGCTGTTCTTGTCCATTTTCTCCACGCATTTGTTTTCCCAAGTGCTGCTTTCTCAAGGTTTGTGTGTAATAACTCGGTGCTCAGATAAGGCATTGTGCCTCTGCTCTGAGACTATTATGGGAATAGATGTAATTTGGAAAATGAAAATCTTTAATACCAGCTTCACCAGGGAAGAGATCAGAATCTAGAGAGAGATCTTTCTTAACTCCCATTTATTATGAGGGTGTTGGAAAGCTACAGTGATGCTGGGGAGTAATATTAACCTGTAATGAAAAAGATTTCTATCTGCAAAGGGTGTGCTGACACTGTGCAGCCTGTGCCCTTCCCAGGAGCCTTTCTCACACTGCCTTGAGCCACTAGCATCAGCCATTCCTCAGGAGCTGCCTGTGAGCTCTGGGTGGTCCCTGGTGCCCAAACCCACCTGTGTTAGCTCTGTCCTGTCTCATTTTCTGCAGACAGCAGGCAGAGAGCAGCAAAGGTAAGCTGTTTCTTTTGGGTCAGCGTTTGCAAAGCAAATCACAGCAGCACATCCCGGGTAAAGGGGCTCTGGGGAGCTGGCAGGGGCATTTCCTGCAAATGGATTTGGTTTGTCAGCAGAACGCTCCCTGAGAACGTGTGACAGCTGGATGGAATGGGTCCTGCTGTCCCGGGCACCCCCGGCAGGGGCACAGCCTGGGTCCTGGCAGGGGCACAGCCTGGGTCCTGGCAGGGGCACAGCCTGGGTCCTGGCAGGGGCACAGCCTGGGTCCTGGCAGGGGCACAGCCTGGGTCCTGGCAGGGGCACAGCCTGGGTCCTGGCAGTGTCACAGCCTGGGTCCTGGCAGGGGCACAGCCTGGGTCCTGCTGGCCGGGTGACCCCCGGCAGTGTCACAGCCTGGGTCCTGGCAGTGTCACAGCCTGGGTCCTGGCAGGGGCACAGCCTGGGTCCTGGCAGTGTCACAGCCTGGGTCCTGGCAGGGGCACATGTCCACGTGCCTCAGTTTCCTCTGGCTAGCGCCCTGACCGAGCCCCAGCCCCCGCTGGTTTCCCTGCTGCCTTCGGGGTGCCAGGCAGGTTTCTGGGGCACAGCGCACCCCTGGCTGTGTGGCTGCAGCTGTCCCTGTCCCCTGACTCCTCTCTCCTCCCTGCCCAGCACATGCGAGAGGCTGCGGAGCGGCGGCAACAGCTGGAGCTGGAGCATGAGCAGGCGCTGGCTGTGCTCAACGCCAAACAGCAGGAGATCGAGCTGCTGCAGAAGGTACCGGGGACAGGAGGGGATGGGAGGGGATGGGATGGGATGGGACAGGGAGGGGACAGGGATAGGGACAGGACAGGCAGGAGATCGAGCTGCTGCAGAAGGGACCTGGGGACAGGAAGGGACAGGGATGGGACGGGACAGGGATGGGACAGGGATAGGGATGGGACGGGACAGGGATGGGACAGGGATGGGATGGGACAGGGAGGGGACAGGGATAGGGACAGGACAGGCAGGAGATCGAGCTGCTGCAGAAGGTACCTGGGAGGGGAGGGGATGGGACAGGGATGGGATGGGACAGGGACAGGGCTGGAGCTGCTGCAGAAGGTACCTGGGGACAGGAAGGGACAGGGATGGGACAGGGATGGGATGGGACGGGACAGGGATGGGACGGGACAGGGCTGGAGCTGCTGCAGAAGGCACCTGGGGACAGGAAGGGACAGGCAGGTGTGACCACGAGCTGCAGGGACAGAGGAGCATGTGGCACCCCTGGACTGAAGTGATTCCCGGGCAGCTGCTGCCTGCCCTGCGGGGTCCCTGCCGTGCCCTGGAGCAGGAGGGTGCTGCCTGAGCTCCAGGGCTGATGGGCGCTCCTGAAACTCGCCCAGAGTGTCTGAGCTGTTCTGTTCCCCAGCAGGGATAGCATGGCACAACCTCATGGATCTCCTTTGCATTTCCATTGCTTCCCTCCATGTAATGGTAACACTTGCATTTCTGGAATGTCACAAAGGAATGCAATCCTAATTTCTCGCCAGTCAGAGTCCGAGGTCTCTCCCATTTCCGGAGTGCTGTGAAGTTCTCACTGACACAGCCACCTTTGGTAGGGTTTCTTTGGCCCCTCTTCCAGACATGCCATTCTTGCTACCTTCCTCCAGTAAATTAGGGAAAATAAAGCCTTGTCAAGATACTGACACCTCGCAGTTGTCTTCCTTTTCAAGCATGTGTCACGTTTGTGGCGAGGGTTTGGTGCATCAGCCCTGCACAGAAACAGCAGCTGCTTAAACACCTCCCTTCCAAGGTCATTCTCTAATTCACACATCACTTCAAGACTTTTTTCCTTTTTTCCCCACTGCAATTTCTCAGTATTCATTATAATACAAAGACCATCATGTTGAGTTTCAGTTTTGCCAAAGTCACTTAAAGCTGCAATTGTCTCAGTGCTAATGTTGATTTTTCCAATTGCTGGGCTAGGTTAAAACACAGAAATAATGCTGCTAATGATCATTTGGTAGAGAATTGGCAAGGAGGGACCTTCTCAGCAGAATAAAAGATGTATCTAATATAGTTGCTTGAAATAGAACGCTGTAGTTGACCAAATGAAATCTTCCAGTTAATTTTCTTTTAGTCTTTCTCAATAAGTGTACTTAGGCACACTGCAAAATGCCATTTCTAGTTATATTCAGCTGTTATTATTAGAACTGCCTCATAAATGTTGGACTTAAATTTCCTGGCAAAGGAAAGAAATCAAAGGAGGATGCAGCATTTCTTGCTAATTTCTGTTACATTCCTCTAATAAAGCCCACTTTGGGCTGGCAGCAGCAGCCTGTGAGCTCCTCTGTGCTGAGCTGCAGTGACAGGCCCCAGGCACAGCCCAGGTTGTGCTGGACTTGGTGTTCCACCCAGGGCAACACGCTCAGCAGGTAAATATTTTAAATAAATCTGTTATCTGAGGAGCTACAGCACATCCCTGCCAGCTTTAACAGGAGTGATGGCTCACATTCCATCCAGAGCTGGCCTCCCAATGCACCCAGGGCGTGTTGAAGTCTTTCTTCCCTTTTGGTTTTTTGTTGGAGTTGTCTTTACTGGAAGAAGTATTTGCAGAGGGAAGTGGGAAGTCCGGGCAGTGACAGGATGGGTTTGACAGCACACCTCGGTGCCTGGTGAGCCAAAGTGCACTCCAGAGCAGAGCCAGCCCCTGCTGCAGCCCCTGGCCTCTGCTGCCACGTCCTGAATAGAAATGAGAGTTCATTCTCTTTCTAATTCTCAGCGCACAGACCGATCAGATTTCTCAGCCTGGGAGGAAGAACACGATATTGTCCTTCAGGGTTTTGTGCTGATGGGGCCTCAGCCTTTTTCTGTAAGAAAACCTTAATCCAGGCACTTTGATGTTCAGGAGAGATAGCCACTGGTGCAGGCTGTGCCACCATTTACCAGAGCTCTGGGCAGGTTTATTGGATGTGTCCTGGTGGATGGCTGCAGGCTCTGTCCCCTGCTGTCCCTGCTGTCCCTGCTGGCACCGTGCCCCTCGCCAGCCAGAGTCACTGCTGGCTACAGCAGGGCTGGGCTGAGCTGGGGCAGGGCAGGGGCTGTGGGCTTGGTTTTGGTGCTTTGGGTCTGGGGATTTGGTCTGTAGTTTCAGTCTCTGGTTTTGGTTCTGTGGTTTTGGTCTCTGGGTTTGGTTCTTTGGATTTGGGTTTGTGGTTTTGGTTTGTGGGTTAATGCCTGTGGATTTGGGTCTGTGGGTTTGGGTCTGTGGGTTTTGGTCTGTGGTTTTAGTCTGTGGGTTTGGGACTGTGGTTTTTTTGATCTGTGGTTTTGGTCTATGGTTTTTTTGGTCTGTGGTTTGGGTCTGTGGTTTTGGTCTGTGGGTTTGAGTTTCTGGATTTGTGTCCATGGGTTTGGGTCCATGTTTTTGATCTGTGGTTTTTGATCTGGGGTTTTTGGTCTGTGGGTTTTGGTCTGTGGTTTTGGGTCTGTGGTTTTGGTCTGTGGTTTTTTTGGTCTGTGGTTTTGGTCTGTGGTTTTTTTGACCTGTGGTTTTGGTCTGTGGTTTTTTTGACCTGTGGTTTTGGTCTGTGGTTTTTTTGGTCTGTGGTTTTGGTCTGTGGTTTTGGTCTGTGGTTTTTGTGACCTGTGGTTTTGGTCTGTGGTTTTGGGTCTGTGGGTTTGGTCTGTGGTTTTGGTCTGTGGTTTTTTGACCTGTGGTTTTGTCTGTGGCTTTGGCCCCTGGTGTTGGTGGTGGCTCTGGCCTGGGCCAGGAGCCACGGAAGGCTGGGGCAGCCCTGAGCCATGCAGTTGAGCAGAGCTGCTCCCGTGTCCGTGCTGGGGCTGTCTGGCACATGAAGCACATCTGGCACAGGCTCTGGGGGCTCTCCTCCACTGAGCAGGAGGGTCTGACTTTTCTCTGATGAGAAATGTGCAGAATGATACTGTGGTTAACAAAATCTGTGCTTATCTTGGGCCAGTTTCAGTAAAGGAGACAGTGAAAAACTAAAACAGAAATAAAATGAAGATAACCCAAAGTTACTGAGTGCTATTTATTTGGTTTTAAGGTTTAGGCCTTTCCCAACCAAAATTTGATAACTGAATAAAATACACTTTTCTGCCCTTATTTATTCCCTCTTGTTGTCTTGGACTCAGTTGATTGGACCTGAAATGTTGCTCCCCTTTTCCAACAGCCTGTCTCGTGGTTGCCTTTTTTTGTGAGCTCGTTACTTTGGTGATAAATCCTGTTGCTTCCTTCAAAGAATGAGCTTAATTTTTGTGTTGCTTTCTCCCAGCTGCTCTGGGAGGTTTGTGCCCCACGAGCCCTGCAGAGTGCACAACAAAGTGCATTTCAGATGGACCTTGGAGGGCTCCAGGGAGGGCTGGCAGGGGATGTGGCAGCGTGGAGAGCGTGCTGGTGCAGCTCCAGCCCAGCAGCCCTGCTCTGAGACCCCAAAATGAACATTCCTGCCAGGCTGGAGTGGATGTGGCAGCGTGGAGAGCGTGCTGGTGCAGCTCCAGCCCAGCAGCCCTGCTCTGAGACCCCAAAATGAACATTCCTGCCAGGCTGGGAGTGCCCAGCAGAGCTGGCACAGCCACCCCTGCAGGATGGAAAGTGCTCTGAGTGTGTGCTCTGTGTGCTCACAGCAGATTGTGTGTGGCATGACTAATTCATTCTCCTTCTTCCTCCTTTTCCCTCTCTTTCCTCTTTCCTCTTTGCTACTCAAACAAGGCTCAGGTTGAAGCTAAGAAGGAGCATGAAGGAGCAGTTCAGTTGCTAGAGGTAAGATCCCCTGGCTTCCCTTGGCTTTTTCAGGTCCCTTCTGAACAGGGTGATTTACAATCATCACTTGTTAGCATTTCAGGGAATATGTAGGCAAAGAGGGGTTTTTTTCTCTTCTGATATAATTGCATCCTTTAAGATTTATAATTCAGTTAGGAGGGCATTAAGCTGAGCTGTTGGAAGTGATGTATGTTCCATTTTTTTGTAAAATACTGTTAAAGGGAGTGATTAATGATGAGAATTTTGATTTATTAGGCTGGAAATGCAGCAGCAAATACCAATCAGTTACCTAGGGTTCCTAATTAAATACTGTCTAATAAACATAAAGCAACATGTCAAAAAGCAGAGACTGTAAACCTAATGAAAGAATTGAGATACTTCCAAAACCTTCAAAGGGTGTGCTGCAAAGAGAACACTTCATTTTCTGCCTGAGGAAAAGGCATGAAATGGTTCTAAGTGTTAATGTACATATCCTAAAGAGCGGGCAAAAATAGGATGGGTAACAGCAAGTGCCTTGTCACTCTTTCCTTTAGAAATTTGCTTTTACCTAAAGGTAATTTCCAGTCTTTTTACCTTCCCACAGTATTTCTAGATGTGCTTGCTGGCCATGCCTCAGTGAAAGGTGGATTTTTCCTGGTGCACTGATCAACTTTAAAAATAAATTAAAGCAATTGTTTATTATTAATTATAAAAGTTAATATTCCCACAGAGTGTGTCTCACTCACAGGCTTTATTAGCATCATATGTATTAAGTTTGTTTTAGCTGAAGTTATTATTTAATGCCTGGTGCAAAATGTAGGATACAGGAAAAGAGAAACAAGACAAGCAAGAGATTATTTACCCCCTCAAGCTGAGCACAATGCTGATGTAGCTGATTTGTCTGCAACCTCTGATTTCCAAAGCTTTTGCTTTTTATTGCCACAAGCACATTCTTTCCAGCGTTTTGTTCAGTGTGCCTTTTGCAGTTTCAGATCAGCAGCAGTGTTGATTTCTGCAGTGTTGTTTGTGTTGGTGCATGTTGTCACTCGTGTAGCTGTTCTGAGAGACTGCTTTGAAATGTAAAAAATTATTCAGAACTGTTTTTATTTCTTTGTTTATTTCACATCTCTTTGTTTACTGTGTCTTGTTTGGGATTTATTGCTTTGCACTTCACCCAGACCACCTTGGACAGCATGCAGGTATTTTAGGGCATGAATTCTCCTTCCCCTGTCCTGCCTCCTGCACTCCTGCCTTGACCATGGGACCAGAGCCCCACCTTGCATGGATGTGTGCTGGAGCCATTGCTATGCAAGCATGCTTTGCATTATTGGGCACTCCAAATCATCAGATCAGGATGAAATTACCCTTGGCGTGGTTTAGCGAGAGCTCCATCCTGGTTTTCAGCCATTCCTCAGAGCATTCCAGCAGGAATGGTCTGAGCAGGAATGGTTTGGGGCTCCCTCAGGACTGTGCCTGCCTGGCTGTGTGGATCTTGTCTGAACTCAGGTGCTCCTTTGCAGAGACTGCTTTCTGTGACGTTTGCACCTGAGGCTGATCTGAGGTGCCCAGTGAAAGCCACTGCTGCTGTGTAAACAGGGAAGCAGTGAGACAGTACCAGCACAGCAGAACTAATGACTGGTGCTAATTAGTGCTCTGAATTCAGACCTGTCCACTGGAGAGCTGCCATCCCTCCCGTGTGTGTGCACAGCCCCTGTCTGCTGGATGGAGCCTGTTCCCCTCCATCCTCTGGGACTGCAGCAAGGGATCCTGAGATCCTTGCGAGCTCCTCCTGAGAGAGGAGCCTGGCAGGGGCAGGGCCAGCCCTGAGCAGGAGCATCCCCTCTGCACAGGAGAGCTGGGACAGCCCTGTGCCACCTGCTCACAGGGTGCCAGGGAACAGGGTGAAAATCCACAGTTCTGAGGCTGTGAGCAGAGGTTCAATGGCAGGAGCCAGGGCACAGGGTAGAAATTCCCAGTTCTGAGGCTGTGAGCAGAGATTCAATGGCAGGAGCCAGGGCACAGGGTAAAAATCCACAATTCTGAGCCTGTGAGAACAGGTTCAATGGCAGGGACCATGGCACAGGGTAGAAATTCCCAGTTCTGAGGCTGTGAGCACAGGTTCAATGGCAGGGACCACGGCACAGGGGAGAAATTGCCAATTCTGAGGCTGTGAGCAGAGATTCAATGGCAGGAGCCAGGGCACAGGGTAAAAATCCACAATTCTGAGCCTGTGAGAACAGGTTCAATGGCAGGGACCACGGCACAGGGTAAGAATTCCCAGTTCTGAGCCTGTGAGCACAGGTCAAATGGCAGGGACCATGGCACAGGGTAAGAATTCCCAGTTCTGAGGCTGTGAGCAGAGGTTCAATGGCAGGAGCCAGGGCACAGGGTAGAAATTCCCAGTTCTGAGGCTGTGAGCAGTCTGTCTGCAGGGTCAGACCCAGATTTCTGGGTTTCCTGCAGTGAGCTGAGGCTGGCTGGCAGCAAGGCAAGCACGTGCCTGCAGTCGAGGAGCAGGATGAGCATGGGGATGCCTCCTGGTGGCTCCACCCTGGCTCTTGTGGCAAATTTTCTTTATCAAGTGCTGGCTTCATGCTGAGTTCTAACTCAGAACCCTACTAAAAATACAGCAGGAAAGGCATTTTCCCTCCAGCCTTCATACTGTCGTGAGAGAACTTGAAATCCCTGCATGCTCAGAAGACATTTACTGCAATGCAAATAATTTCTAAGTTATTAAATAATGCTTTTCCAAAAATACTCTTCAGGCAGCCTTAGCTCCTTGTTGAGGTCTGGATTGTGGTGCTTTCCTGTTTTATTTTGTGCTAGAGTTCCCATGGCTGCTTGTGGAAAGGTCAGTAATGTTCTCAGAGAGTTGAATGGCTCATCCTTAAGCTTTCCATTGAAAGTGGGAACCAAATACCCCAGTTTTCTTCTTTGTTTGTTAATGTCCCTTTGAAACTGCATCAGGGTCGTTTTCATGCAGCAAATTAAGCAAATTAACAAGTAGCAAAGTCTGACATTTCATTTGCTCAAAACCACAGCAAAAGAGTGAAAGACAAAACCCCAAGCATTTCGTGTTTGTGTGAAACTCCCACCATGTCTGATTCTTGCTGCTCTTGGTTTCATAATCAATCAGGTGGAAACCCTGAGATTTCCTTTGCAGAAATAAATTAATTTGTGTGTTATCAATGCAAGGAAATTATATCTTTGAAATTGACTCTGACTTAAAAAAAGTATTTGTTACAAGAAAAGGAGCAAACAGTGCCACCTTGCATAGTAGAACATTTGGATTTTTGGGTTCTCCTGGGTACTGTAAGCATTTTCCTTCAGCTAGGATCTCTTTATAGGTGCTATGTAATACGTGTTGTTTTCTTGACATATAAAATGTACAGGTTTTCTTACACAAACAGGGGATGTTGTTTTCCTTTAAAAAGCCAAAGCTCTTAGTTCAGCAGAACGAATTTAATTGCTCTCCAGACTTGCTTTGTTGGTACAGCTGCTGAAGTGAGCACCGGAGGGGTTTAGTGCAGGAAGGTGATGTTTGCTCACACGCAGCACAGCCTGGGTGCACTTTTATGGCCTTAATTCAGGTGCTCCATCCAGTGAGCGTGCAGGTTTGGGTAGAGGGGCTTTGGTGCTGCAGTGTCTTCAGTGCTCTTGGTTTGGAGTCAGAGCAGGGATCCTCAGAGGGGCAGGGCTGCCCGCAGCTCGGGTTGGAGTGTGGGAGCTTGGAGGGAGCCTGGGGGGCTCTGTGCCCCAAATCCCAGGGTGGGGGGCTGTGTGTCCCAAATCCCCAGGGTGGGGCTGCTGCCGCTGCTGCTGCCGCTGCTGCTGCCGCTGCTGCTGCCGCTGCTGCTGCTGCCGCTGCTGCTGCCGCTGCTGCCGCTGCTGCTGCTGCCGCTGCTGCTGCCGCTGCTGCTGCCGCTGCCGCTGCTGCTGCCAATGCTGCCGCTGCTGCTGCCGCTGCTGCCAATGCTGCTGCTGCCGCTGCCTCCGGTTCGAGCTCTTGTGTTCTCCAGAATGGTGCATAGCCCTGAGCTGCATTGGTGCATAACCCTGAACTGCATTAGTTTATAACCCTGAGCTGCATTGGTACACAACCCTGAGCTGCATTGGTGCATAACCCTGAACTGCATTAGTTTATAACTCTGAGCTCCACACACAGTGCCAGCAGCTCTCCTCACAGCTCAGGCACACAAAACAATCCTTTTCCAGCCCAGAACCAAGGACACCGCTGCAGCTTCATCCCAAAAAGTGCAAACAGCAGGGGAGGGAGGAGAGCAGCCTGGGAGGGTGGGGCTGCATCACCTGAGCTGGAATTGGACAATGAACCCAGTATGGAAATGGACCAAAACTGATAAAAGTGTGAAAACTCATGACATGCCATCCATCTTGGGTGGAGCCATGGCCAAGGTGCATCCTTTGAAGCCTTTTAATAAATCCCTGCTTTATTCATTTAACTCTGTCCAGCCTCTGTTCCAGGGAGCCCCTCTGGGCATCACTGCGAGCAAAATTCTCTCTAATTGTTGTTGAGTGTAGTGGTAGGAAACCTGTTCAGAGTTAAAACTGCCTTTTCTTCATGTAAAAATGGACTTGTCTGCCTGTACAGGCTTTGCTGGAAACCCTTCCCTGCCCCAGGGACAGGAGCAGCTCTGCTCTCTTGTTGAAGGAGGAATTAATGGGGAAAGAAGGCACAGAGACCCCGCACACTGCATTGGCCGTTACATTAAAAACCATTTAAACAGAGCTGGGCAGAAAATGCAGCATTTTGGCAGACATGAAAATGGCTTGGGCTCAGTCTCGTTTGTGCAACGGAAATGATGCACTTCTCCATAAAGATCTGAAAGTAAAACTTCAAAAAGCAAAAGGTAGTTTCAAGAGAAATGGAGAACATAAAGTAATAAAAAAAAAAAAAAATCTGTATTGATGCTCTTACACTGAGAGTCCCCAGCACAGCCAGCAGTGTGTGTTTGCCCAAGATCTGTGCTGAACTTTCACCAGGTCATCTCCTGTTGCCAGAGGCAACGGCTCTCCCCGAGCAGGGCTTTGTAAAGCATCCATTATTCACAGGAAAAGGACAAAGGCCGGCAGGAGGTTACCTGAGGACACCCGAAAACAACTGCCGTGTCAGTCACACGCTGCATGGTGTCATTCCATGTGAATCACGATTGGATTGTGTGTTATTCCGTGTGAATCCCACGTTACACTGTGTGTTATTCCATGTGAATCACAGATTGTGTGTCATTCCATGTGAATCACAGATTGTGTGTCATTCCATGTGAATCACAGATTGTGTGTTATTCCATGTGAATCCCACGTTACCCTGTGTGTTATTCCATGTGAATCCCGTTACACTGTGTGTCATTCCATGTGAATCCCACGTTACCCTGTGTGTCATTCCATGTGAATCCCGTGTTACCCTGTGTGTTATTCCATGTGAATCCCACGTTACCCTGTGTGTTATTCCATGTGAATCCCATGTTACCCTGTGTGTTATTCCATGTGAATCCCGTGTTACCCTGTGTGTTATTCCATGTGAATCCCACGTTACACTGTGTGTTATTCCATGTGAATCCCACGTTACCCTGTGTGTTATTCCATGTGAATCCCATGTTACCCTGTGTGTTATTCCATGTGAGGAGGGTGATCAGCACCACCCAGGCTGGAATCACTTCAGTTTCTCCTGCAAAGAAGCAGTGTCAGGTCGATCTCATTACTTACAAATTCCCCCAGAGTTGTTTGAAAATAAGCGTTACCCTGTGTGTTATTCCATGTGAGGAGGGTGATCAGCACCACCCAGGCTGGAATCACTTCAGTTTCTCCTGCAAAGAAGCAGTGGTCAGGTCGATCTCATTACTTACAAATTCCCCCAGAGTTGTTTGAAAATAAGTCAAAATGGACTAAGAAAAGTGAAATGGTCTCACCTTTTTTTCCTCAGCTTGGAGAGAGGCTCTGATGCCCAGGGGCCTGGAGATCAGCAGTGATTCCCTGCTGCTGCAGACAGCAGTCACTGTCAGAGGCTGCTGAGCTCGGTGTGACAGCAGGGCAGGGGCAGCTGAGGTGACATCCCTCTGCCATGCCAGCCCAGGGCTCTGCATCCGTGTGCCAGGGCTGCCTGGGCAGGCTGGGGCTGCTGGCTGTGCTCTTGGGCAGGGCTGGGGCTGCTGGCCGTGCCCTCTGTGCTGCCCAGTGCCCAGTGCCCTGCTGGCCGTGCCCTCTGTGCTGCCCAGTGCCCTCTGTGCTGCCCAGTGCCCTCTGCCCCAGGGGATGTTAAAGGGCACTAATGGAGAGTCCCAAAGGCATTTCCTGAGAGACATGAGGATTTAGCAGAAATTTCCTTCATACCCACAGCAATAGCTCCTCGTGTCTCTAAGGACAGGGTTTTCAAAGCAACAATTAATTTAAAAGGTAATTAGGTATTGAGCTGTCCTTCAGGCAGAAGTGGAGGTCCAGCCTGTATCACTGAGATTGATTTAATGGAAAATGGAAATCAGCTGAGCATCTTTTAGGTACTCAGTCAAACTCTCCCCACTAATTCATTCTTATGCTAATGGAAAAACCTTTTAAAAATCTTCCAGACTGAGATCTCCCAAGTAACCCTTGGGTAAAACCACAGCCACCAGAGCCAGGTCTGCACCCAGGGCGTTCCAGGGCCTCCCTCTCTGACCCTGCTCTCAAAACCTGTTGATTTTTGTGGCACTTGGCATTCAGGGCCTGCAGCACTTGTGTGTGAGCAGAGCACCAGCTCTGCTGGACAGCACTGATCCTCAGTGGGGATGCACAGTAACAGGGGAGCCATGGTTAGCCAGGGCCCTCTCTGACCCTGCTCTCAAAACCTGTTGATTTTTGTGGCACTTGGCATTCAGGGCCTGCAGCACTTGTGTGTGAGCAGAGCACCAGCTCTGCTGGACAGCACTGATCCTCAGTGGGGATGCACAGTAACGGGAGCCGTGGTTAGCCAGGGAAGGGTTTAATTGCTGAAATCAGCCCCGTCTCAAGAATGATGGTAGAGCACAGCAAGTTCTTCAAAGCAGCAGTGCAATTATTTTTATTATGTGTGAGGAAGAAGGAACATGAGAGGGAACACAGAGACAGCTTTAAAGCACAGCAAAGGGTGGAAATGAGATCAGTTTATGACCAGCTGCTTTGCCTTAATTGGTGATGTCTGAATGTATCAGGAAATGAAATGAACCTAGCCAGGATGGATTGGAGCATAAAAAGTTCACTTTAAACCTACAATAATGTCACTATCAGATATAGAAGCCTTAAGATTTATTATTCATCAGTTAAGAGGCTCATTTAAATGGTCTTTCTAGATAATTTAGGTAGTCCATATGGAATCAGCAATTGCAATAAATAACATGGAGAGTCTAACTGTAATGCAAGCATGGACAGATTTAATTCTCCTGAAACATTTAAATTAGATCTGGTGCTCTTCCATTTTCCTTGATAGGGTGTTCTTTAGACTTCCTTAACAAATATTTGCCCATCAGGAAAATAAAGACCATTTTAAGCATATATAGATTTAAAAAGGCTTTATGGACAAAATTCCTGTGGCTTTATAGGGTTCTTCTCTAGTATTTAAAGAGAAAAAAAAGGACATTTCTAGATGCTGCTGTGTGTTCTTATGATCTGACCTCTTGTAGATTTTATTTTTAACTCTCTTTTTTTCCAGAGGGAAAATATAAAAGGAAAGGTGTTTTACTGGGGCTTTTTTGTTTGTTTGTTTTCTTTTTTGTAGGTTTCCAGTTAACAACTTTAAAACAGTCTGCAGGTCTGATTCCCCCTCGTTCTGCTGTTCAAGCCCAGGGCCCTCAGTGTAATTGCCTTGGATGAACCAGAGAACCAGGTTTAATCAGGTTTTTTTTTTTTGGAGGCACACTTAGGCCAGGTTTTGAATGCAGATTTTTTTGCACTCGTGTGTTCCCAGCCTGCAGGAGCAGCAGTCCAGGCAGGAGTGATCAGGAGCTCCCAGATTCCCAGAGGAATGTGCACCCTGCACTCTGAACCTCAGTTTTGGTCTGGTTTTTCTGTTTTGCAGGGGCATTACTTGTGTTTATTTTTCAGCCCAGCCATGGCTCTGTGTGCATAGAACACCTGAGTTTACAGGACCTTTGTCTGGTGCCCTTTCCAAAGGCTCCTCTGCTGCTGCAGCTCTTTGCTGGGCACATTCTGGCACACAGCTCTGTTCTTCCCTTGCTGGTGGGTGTTCAGTGCCCCTGCTGGGCAGGGGGGTCTGTGTGGAGCTATCAGCACTGATTTCTGGAAGCAGCCCTGTCTCAGTGATGATGGCAGGGCACAGCAGCTCTCCAAAGCAGAATGCAATTACCTGGGGCAGAGAGGTGCCCAGCCCTCCTGCCCTCACAGCCACCACACTCCTTCCTCTCCTGTGTGTTGAGGACTCAGGGTAAATTTTCTGTGCCTTATTTCCCAGGTGAAAGAGCAAGGCAGACCCGTTCCTTCCAGCCCCTGGGTGTTCCTGACCGTGTTCCTGTGCTGGGTGTTACCCTGTGTGGATGCAGAGCCAGGGCTGCATTGCCCTGGAGCCTTCCTCCACATTCTGTACCCGGTGCCAGCAGTTTGGTAACAAAGCCTGGAGAATGCAGGAGGTCTGAGAGCAGCCAGAGGCTTCCTTTGAGTGAATAATCACAGTTGGCCCAATTATTTATAGCTTGGCGCTGGCAGGCTGAGATGGCAAACACATTAACAGCAAACAGAAGGAGCTAAATTGGCTAAAGGTTCCTGAACAGGGAGGACTTCTCTGTTATAGATGTGAGGAAGGTTCCAAGAATAAAAAATGTGCCCTTTTCCAGCCTGGGGATTGCTCTGAGTGGGGCTGGTGGTAATTAATCTTTTGTGTGGTGAGTGGTATATTTCCCTGCTGTCAATGTGCTGAGGCTGGCCTGCTGTAAATTACAGTGATGCAGAGAAAATTAATCATATTGGACTAATGAGCACACCAGAAAACCCTCTGATGGTATTCTTGGAGCTTTTTCTCCTCTGCAGTGAGAACAAAGAGGTTCCTCTGATAATTCCTGCTGACCTGGACTGGGAATCTTGAAATTCAGTAGCAAAACGTTGCTGTCAGACTTCTGGCAGAACAGGAGAGGAAATGCTGAACCTACAGATATTCAGGGGCTGAAGAATTAGAGCCCAGGCTCATTATGTTAATGAGGGGCAGGATGCACTCTGCACATGTGAATGTGTCACAGCAGCTCGCTGTGCTCTGCTGCAGCTGCTGCTCCTGCTGCAGGCAAACTCCAGCTCGGGTTGCAATCCCTGCCCTGGGAATAACCCAGCAGCCTCAGGTAAATGTACAGTGGCTTTTACTCAGCTTTGTTAGTCTCTCTTGCAGCCTGCAGCACGTTGTTCCTCTGGCTTGTCTCACCTCTGGTCCTCACCTGAGTCAGGAGGAGAGGAGAGCTCAGCCTCCTGCGAGGCTTCTCAGCGTGCAGCATGATCTCCCTTTTCCTTGCCTCTGAACTCTTTTTAAAAAGCACAGTAAAAATATTCCAGGAGGATTTCTGGCGTTTTTTCCTTTGCACAGTCTGGGTTTCCATGTTTCAGAAGCTGAAGGGATGGCCCTGGGGTTAAATCAATGTGCTTTAGTGCTGGTGTCAGTGAGGAACTCTCGGAAACACGGGGCAGGTGCTCCTGGCACTGCCTGCCAAAAGTCAAACAACTTCATTGCAAAGGGAATATCCTGCCAGCTGTGTCGTTAGCATCCCAGTCTCTTTTTCAGAAGACAAAGGTATGGCTTGCTCCTGATGCCCAGAGTGTGCCAGAGTGCCAGAGGAAGCTCGGGCTCCAGCAGCAGCTCTGCAGTGCCAGGTGTGGCACCTTGGACACTCCAAGGGGCTCGGGACAAAGGTGGATTCTTTTCTCTGGGGGAGCTTCGCCTTTGGGCTCTCTGAATGGAAATGCCTTCACTTCTGGGTTATGTTTTGTCACACGGTGTTGACTTCAGCAATTTCCCCAGGTCTGGGAAGGGGCAGCTGAGCTGTCCCTGCTCTGCAGTGCAGCCCCCACAGCCTCCTTGCCGAGGGATTTCTGAGGAGAGGAAAGCACCTGTGCTGTGCAGGTGTGTCTGTGCTGGGAGGCACTCCTGACTCGTGTGTTCTCCCGCTGCAGGTCATGAGAGCCCCTCTGGAAGTCGCTGTGTGATCTCAGAGTTCATCCGACCCCTCCAGGTGTCTGGAGACAAACCAGAGCCGCTGTCTGTCAAACCCACCTTCCTGTCCAAGTCAAGATCTGCTACCCCAAGATGCAGATTTGATTCAGACGTGAGTCTTTTTGAATTTTTTACTGAAAAGGTGACTTGGGGCTGGGGCTGCTCTGCTGCAGCAGGCTGTTGCAGGTGGATCCACCTGCTTTCACAAACTCAGTGCATGACTGTTCTCATTTTCTGAGGCAGCTTGGGAGCATGAGCCGTGGAATTTGAGTGATGTTTCCCAAGGGGCTGTACCTGATGTGCCAGGTGCTCGGGATGGAGATGAGCTGTGTGAGGAGCTCGGGGCTCTCTGAGGATCTCAGTGCTGGGCATAGCAGCATTTCTGCCCTGGGGCAGGGCTGGGGCAGCAGTGCAGCAGTGCAGCCTGGCACAGCAGTGCAGCAGTGCAGCCTGGGGCAGCAGGGCTGTGGCAGCAGTGCAGTGGCAGCAGTGCAGCAGGGCTCGGTTGTGCCTGCAGAAGGGGGTCTGGGCAGGGGGCAGCAGCTGTGCCCTGCCCCAGGGGTGCTGTGCAGGGAATGGCTGGGGCATCCTGCAGGGCTCTGCTCTGCCTGGCTGCTCTGGGCAGGCACTGCCTGCTCAGCCTCCCTGCAGGGCTCTGAGCCTGGAAAAGGGGGTGAAGTTGCAGCATGCTGTCACTGCTCCACATTCTGTATCCAGCCATGCTCTTGCAGGGTTCTGTTCCTCCTTCCTTAGGAAGCTTTCCTGCTTTTCGGAGGAACTCCAGCACAAATCCAATGGGAAGCTCAGAAGAGCTGTTCAAAGGTGCCATAACAAGTTGATTTTTAATATTTAGGACAAATATTAAATATAAAAACTGCATGGAACAAACCTTGGAAACTGTAGAAGGGTGTTATTTGCTGTTAAATACTCTGGTTCATATGGGCAGATAGCCACGAGGAAATGATCTTCAGATTTTACCCCTCATTTCAGGAAATCCATTTCCTAATCCTTACAGGAGTAAATAAGTTGCAACTGTGTGCATATTTTCTATCTGTGTTAATTAATTGGTACTGAAAATGTGAAAGTTGATGGAATCAAAATGTTTCTAAATGGATCACAAGCCTGAGGGTATTCAACAAAATATTGGATTCTTGTAGAGTGGGAATTCCATGGGCATATTTGAGGATTATCCCCAGGAAATATTTGTGTATATTTGTGTAGCAGCATCACTGAAAAATGGAAACATTTACTGCTTTTTGGAGAGGCCACAGAAAAAGCAGCTTAGCAAGGAGACTTAGGGAAGCAGAACTAACAGCAAGGAACAGGAGAAGCAAACGTCAAATTTAATTCCCCTTTTCTATTATTTTTGAGTTATCTCACTGAGAATGTCAAGCCCTCTTTTGCAGAACTGTACATTTTGTGCCTTCTGGAGTGTAATTATGTGATACACTCTTACATTATGCAAGCTCACAGAAATTAAGCTCCATTCCTTTTTAGAGATACCCAGACCCAAGGGAGGGCATGTGAATTAAATCTAAGAAATGAAACATAATGCTGGGAAGTAGGAAATAAAACAGCAAATAAATGAATGAATGAGTCAGTGATACTGTGCAGTGGCCATGGTTGTTCCTGTGAAAAGTGGGATGCTTTCTGGAATGAGCATTCCTGGCTGTGTGCTCAGTGAGTGCCCATGTAAAGGGATCAGGGGAATCCTGGCAGATTGTCCTGGATCCCACCCTGGGAGCTCCTGGAGCTGGAGCTGGGCCACACCACCCTCAGGAGTCAATTCAGAGGAGAATTCTCTTCCCTGGGAGTTTCCTGGTGTGCTCCTGGCTGGGACCAGTTTGGACCTGGAAGCTGCACTCAGTGTTCACCCTCTTAGGTTGTAAGATTTTGTTCTGTTTTTGGACAGTTTATTTCATTTGATCCCACTGTTAACCCAGTATTTCTGCCTTAATTAAGCTTCTCTCAAGCTCAGGCAAAAAGTTGGTAATTTTTTCTGAAATGGCTCACAGCAAACTGTACAGTAAGTGGAGGGAAGCTCATCCCCCACTTTAAAACCTCTGCTGGCTCAAAGCACAGCTGAAATTACTGTTCTACCAGTGAGAGACCTCGTGCAGAGCTAAAATAGGCAGAGTCTCTGCTGGTTCAACACCACAATTAAATCTCCAGATTTCCTAGACCAGATTTGTAATGGAATAAACGTGTGGCTTTGCAGGATTGAATTCAATGTGATGTGAAATTCAGAAGAAAATATGTTATTTCCTTCAGTTAGTGGAAGGGCAGCAGGGCTGTGGCAGCAGTGCAGCAGTGCAGCCTGGGGCAGCAGGGCTGTGGCAGCAGTGCAGGCTGGGGCAGCAGTGCAGGCTGTGGCAGCAGTACAGTGGCAGCAGTGCAGTGGCAGCAGTGCAGCAGGGCTCGGTTGTGCCTGCAGAAGGGGGTCTGGGCAGGGGGCAGCAGCTGTGCCCTGCCCCAGGGGTGCTGTGCAGGGAATGGCTGGGGCAGTTGGATTGGCAAGGGGTATATTTTGTGTGATACTCGTGGTTTCCAGGTGTTTGGAGGTTGACACTTGCACCAATTCCAAACTCAGCATTTGTTTTAAGTATTTTAAGTACTCAGTCACTGGAATCTGCCTTTCTAAGTAAAATTAACTAGTTGTGCTCCATGTTTGAATTTATTTTTTTTTTCCTTGATATTGTGTGTTCACTGATTTATATCACCTGTCAGGAAAACCGTTCATTGCTCTTTTTTGTAACCACATTATCTTTTTCCTCCCCTCCCCGCAGATGGATAATGATCAGAATTCCAATACCTCAAAGCAGAGATATTCTGGGAAGGTCCATCTTTGCATTGCCCGTTACAGGTAAAGCACCCCCACCACCCACAGCTGGAATATTCACCATCAGCTGGGGCTGCCCTGCCTTCCTGCCCCCAATTCTTGCATGGAAGGGGCATTCTGGAGAGCCTGTGCAGCTGGCCCTGGCTGCAGGGCAGAGCCTGTGCCCCAGCTGGCAGAGGGAGCTGAGCTCTCCCACCCCCTGCATTCCTGTCCTCAGTGTCTGAAGCAGATTAAACTGGGACCTCCTGCTCTAGAGACGAGTCTCAATCTGTTCTTTTCAGTTTCTTCTTCAAGCAGGAGAAGGTTTGAGGTCCATCACTGCTTTGCACTTTAAAATTTCAGGCGTGTAGGACTGTCACAGTACAAATTAAAGTGGCTAACAGTTTCTTTAGAAAACTTTTCTTTCTATAGGCTGAAGTACTTCATAAGTACTTTTTGTCTCTCAGTAGCTTCTCTTAGATGTAGCTCACTGGTTTTGTCTTCTTTTACCTTGCCTCTGTAGGAGTTGTGTAAAAGGAACATAAAATTGAATACAGTGACTGGAAAAGACCCCCACAACTGAGTTTGCTTTAATTCACTCTAAAAAATAAGGAGAATTGTTACTATAGGACACAAGACAACACAATGCAGACACGCTGCTGCTCTCCAGGCAGGAAAAAAGGGAGTTTGTTTTCTGACTCCAGCATTTACAGATTTCCAAAGGTGGCAGTGGATTGGAGGGTGACAGTGCCACCTCTCCAATGACACTGGACAAACCAACAGTTTGTCAAATTTCCCCTCTTCCATAAAAGAGTGCAAAACAATAAGTTGTTTACAGAAAGTGCGTGAGAAAAGTTTGCTGCAAGAACGCAAACATCAGAAGGTTTAGAAAATCTTCAAAAACCGGGGCAACAGAGAATTTTGGCCAGTGTTTTCCAAGAGCCCTAAGTGAGAAGTGTCTGAGCACATCCTGCAGGAAAGGATTCCTGCAGGGTGTGGGGACAGAGGGGAGCTCACAGGCACAGGCTGCCCTCTCAGGGGGGCTGCAAAGCCCCTGCCAGGGGAGCTGCCCTGCTGAGAGCCCCTCGTGAGCAGCACTCTGCTGTCCCCACAGCTACAACCCCTTCGATGGACCCAACGAGAACCCGGAGGCAGAGCTGCCTCTCACGGCAGGAAAGTACCTGTATGTGTACGGAGACATGGACGAGGATGGCTTCTATGAAGGTACTCTCTGTTAAATCCCCGAGTTCATGCTAATTCATGCAGATTGAAATCAGGTCGTCTGTCAAGCACGCTCCAGATTCTTTCCTTCGTCTGCTCCCAAATCGGTTGCTAAATTTAGCTTTATCATCGTGGTGTTAATTAAAGGAGTTTCTGCACCAGCAAAGCCGCTGCTTGCAGGCAGAGCTAATTATAAAATAGTTTATAGTGTCAGCTTTTCCTACTGGCAAGATTTAAGTTGACAAAAAAGCTTACTGGCAGTTCTGGTATTTCCCTTAATAAGCCTTTATGCTCCCAAGCTGGGGATGTTGTTTAGGTACTGTCCCCCATCCCTTGCCCCTTGCTTGCCCGCTCTCAAGGCACTGCCATGGACGAGGTGTTCTCCTTCTGGGGGTTTAGTGGCAGTGCTCTGTGGCATTCACGCGCCCTCTGAACAGAGAGAAGCTGTGGGACAAGCAGAGAAGAAGGAAAACATAATTCTTATCTCTCTTGCTGTGCCTGTGCTGTGCCATAGCAGAATGCCATATGGAGATTGTTTGCCCAGAGTGAGGATGTTTTGTTCCCTTGGTCTGTCAGGGCCAACTCTGTGTGTGTGTGTGTGTGGGGACTGTCACGAGACAGTCACGGGAAGGATCGAGGTGAGTGCAGTTGTGAGCAAGGGTGAGTGCAAGGCAGATTCACTTTAGATGCAATGTGTATGGTACAGAATAATAAAACAATTATCTTGCCTTCTGCTGGTGGAGTCCTCCTCATCATTTTCTCTCCCCTTCGTCGGAGTCGCCCTGATTAGTAATAGTGCTCTTTCCCTCCAGGAGAGCTTCTGGATGGGCAGAGGGGCCTGGTCCCTTCGAACTTTGTGGACTTTGTCCAGGACAGCGAGGCGCGGCTGTCGGGCAGCGAGCAGGAGCAGAACTTGGCGAACCGCGCGGGGCCGGCGCTGCAGGGAGAGCTGGAGATCAGCCCCCCCGGCCAGGCCGGCTGCGGCGTGCTCAGCAACGGCACGGCCGCCCTGGACGTCAACATCGACGAGATCGGAGAAGACATCGTGCCTTACCCCAGGAAAATCACCCTGATCAAGCAGCTGGCCAAGAGCGTCATCGTGGGCTGGGAGCCGCCCGTGGTGCCGCCCGGCTGGGGAACCGTCAGCAGCTACAACGTGCTGGTGGACAAGGAGGTGAGGATGAACGTCGCCCTGGGCAGCAGGACCAAAGCTCTGATAGAAAAGCTCAACACCTCCACCTGCACGTACCGGATATCCATCCAGAGCATCACCAGCAAGGGCAACTCCGACGAGCTGCAGTGCACCTTGCTGGTGGGCAAGGACGTCATCGTCGCCCCCTCCAACCTGCGAGTGGACAACATCACCCAGATTTCTGCTGAGCTCTCCTGGCTCCCCACAAACAGTAACTACAGCCATGTCATCTTCCTGAACGAGGAGGAGTTTGACATTGTCAAGGCTGCTAGCTACAAGTACCATTTTTTTAATTTGAAGCCCAATATGGCCTACAAGGTGAAGGTCATGGCAAAGCCCCACCAGATGCCCTGGCAGCTTCCCTTGGAACAACGAGAAAAAAAGGAAGCCTTTGTGGAATTTTCTACATTGCCAGCAGGTTTGATATCTTCCTCCCTACCCCAAAACTCGACAGTTTAATTTCTCTGAAAATACTAGATAAAATACTTTAACCTACACAGCTTTTAGGGGATGTAAATGCATTTTGGTTGTGAAGGTGTAATCAACTTCATTGTACAATTTGAATTTGTAAAGTCTACAGATTTGTTGTGTTTTGGAAAGTCTGAGGTTTTTTCCCACCTGGATTTTACATTAGGAGTGTTGGTAAGTGTTGTCAGTCATTTGCCATTATCCAGGAACACTGAAGTAGTGTTGAAAACTAGAGCAGAAATAAAGCAGTGAATTTGAAGGATAATCTCAGAATTTTGGGGGTGTGTGGTACCACCTGAAAAAATTTGAGTATCTTTCCTTACAGATTCACCTACCCATGGTCATCTAATCATGGCCAAGGAGGAGACCCCTGAAATATTCAGTGTTGCAGATCTGGGTGCGTCTGAAGGGACACTCAGCTGCAAGTGGCCCCTGGCCAGTGAAGCATCAGCAGCATTCTGAGCTGGCTTTGCTCACTGCCTGCAGGGCGTGATCCCAGCAAGGAGCAGGAATTCATCCTGCTCCCCTCCTTGGTGGCTTGTAGGAGAGGGGACATGGAGGGCAGCAGTGCTGTTGGGCAGGGGGAGTGAGGCTTCTGTGCCTCCTGCTGTGGTGCCAGCACAGTTCCCGTGGGAATGTCCTCAGCTCACACACTTCTGCACTTCTCTTCAGCCTGGGGTCACTCAGTGGTGGGCGGCAGTGCAGGGTGCTTGCAGGTGCACTTCAGAGCTGGGATGTGTCCTGGGGAGGTGGGAGGCACTGCCTGGCTGCTGGCTTGAACTTATTTCAGCTTTGCTGTTTAGGAAAGGCCTTTTGAGTGAGGCTTTTCCAGGCTTTTCCCATGCTGTACCTCCCTCTAGCTGTGAAGCCTGCTGAGCAGTGCAGAGCTGCTCTCTGCTGAGCAGTGAAGCCTCAGCTTTTGCAGCCAGAGCTCCCAGAACCTTCCCCACTGCTTCATTCCACTGGGAGCACTTCTAGAGAAACAAGCCAGCTTTTCACTGCTGTGTAGAGAAAACAAAGCAGCAGCTGCTGAAGTGGTTAGAGGCTGATGCCTGGTTGCAGAGTCGTTGGAGCAAAGGAAAAGGATGAATTTGGAGTCAGTGATGGGAGTTGCCATCATAGAGTGTCATGCAATTGAGCTCATCCTGGTTCATCAAAGCAATGGAATTGATCACATAGAAATACAAGTGTTTGTCTCTTGGGCACTCAGATCTAAAAACAGAAATAAGCACAGCATCAGGACCAGTGGGGCTGCTGCAGTTTTTGGAGCTAATTTATGTTAAAAACCCCATGAGGAGCAAAGTGTAGCAGAATTCCAAAACAAACATTTATGTTGATGACCAAGACCATTGAAGATCATCAGGAATAATTTCCCATTTAATGATGGGAGGAAATAGGAGCCGTGCTGAGCCTCGGGCGTTGCAGTTTATTAAACCTATCTCTGCACAGCCTGTGAAGGTCGAGACAGACACCCTGGGGATTGTTTCCTTGTGGGAGAGTGGAAGGAAGGTGACTTCTCCTGCAGGAGCAGATTAATGCCATTGTCATTGGCAAGATGCTGGGTTAGAGCAGATGCATTCTTGTGAGCTGAGCAGCCTTGCTGAACTGGGAGTGCTGGCTGCCAATAACATGGGAAGGCCAGGAAAGCTGAAATTCAATCCTGAACCAAAATCTCTCTTGGCCAAGAATAGTATTAGGTCAATTTGCATACTCTCAGCTTGCAAGATATAAATACTTTATAGATGCAGGGATGGTATGAGCAAAACCTTCCTGTTGTGCCTGTACTGTCCTGAACATGACCATGATTTTATTTCCATGTCCACTAGAGGACGAAATTCAGTGGCAGCAAACCAGTGAAATGCACTGGCAGTTTGCCAGTGGTCTTGTGTGATATTTGCACCTGCATCACGCACAGTTGAAGTGTTTGTAGCCTTTTTGGTAGCTGAACAGGATCTGGTTGTGTTTAGTTTGCTGGGAGAAGCAGTCTCACAGAGCCAGGCTGTGTGTTCTGCTCTGCAGAGGTGGCTGCAGCCCAGCCCTGCCTCTGACAGCAGCAGCAGCAGCCTCTGCTCAGGGTTTGGTGCCTAAATTAACACAACAGGATGCTTGAAAAATTGATGAACTAAGAATCTCTGTGATATTTTTACTTTGGCTTTCTGGCCAAACTAGAGCTATTTATAGCAGGGTAATGCATTTAATTAAGGAGGAATGTGGTGTGCTGTTACACTAACACACTAAATGCCTTCAGAGGTTCCTGGGTGTGACTTTTGATTCAGGGCAGAGGAAGGACCGTGGGCCCAGCCGTCCTTTAACCAGCTGGGGGAAAATGCTGCAGCTCCCTGCAGCCCAGCTGCCTGCTTGTGACCCGAGAGTGACCAGTGCCATCTCTCCTAGGTCCTCCAGCTCCACCTCAGGACGTGTCTGTGCGGGCGGGCTCCACGCCAGGGACCGTCCAGGTGTGCTGGAAGCCCCCAGCCCTGTCGGCGACGGGGACGTCCCACGGTGCCAGCGTCACAGGCTACGGTGTCTATGCCAAAGGGCAGCGGGTGAGTGCCCTGTGACTCTGCTGGCACTCAGCTGCCAGGGAAGGCTGGCACAGCCCTGCCAGTGGAGCCCGTCCCGGTTGTTGGGTTAACCCTTTCTAGGAGCCCCCTAGGGCTGGGGGGTTTGGGGATGAATGCCAGCTGGGTAAGGGCACACAGCCCTGGCTGGGCTCTCACAGCTCTGCTGGCAGCAGTAACCTGCTCCCTTTCCAGGAGCCTTCTTGGCCAGAGGGTTTGGGGGGGTCAGTGCCAGCTGGGTAAGGGGCACACAACGCTGGCTGCCGCTCACTCTGAGGAGCCTGAGGGCTGCACCCCGGCGGGCTGAGGGGAGGGCAGCAGCTGTTGGGCTCTCACGGCTGTTGATCTCTCCCAGCTGTTGGGCTCTCATGGCTGTTGGGCTCTCCCGGCTGTCGGGCTCTCCCGGCTGTCGGCGCTCACAGGTGGCCCGTGTGTCCCCAGGTGGCCGAGGTGGCGTTCCCGGCGGCGGAGGGCGCGGCGCTGGAGCTGCAGCGGCTGCGCGGCCTGGACGCCAGGGAGGTGACGGTGCGGACGCTCTCTGCGCAGGGCGAGTCCCTGGACTCTCCTCTCGCTGCCATTCCATCTGACCTCCTGGTGCCTCCAACCCCCCACCCCAGAACTGCTCCCAAATCTAAGCCATTAGCAAGTGCCGGAGCCCCAGAAACCAAAGAAGAACACCTAGGCCCACATTTGAGAAGGGATGAGTCCTGGGAGCAGACTCGCTCGGCGTCCCCCATGCACGGACGCATGCTGGAGCCACCCACCTTCCACGGCCCCCTCCAGGGCAGGAGGTCTCCGTCCCCCAACAGAATCCTGCCCCAGCCTCAAGGCACTCCAATCCCCAACACCGTCGCAAAAGCCATGGCCAGAGAAGCTGCACAACGAGTGGCAGAGAGCAACAGGGTAAAGGCAAACTCCTTCCTGGGCCTTCTTGGGCTGGGCAGTTCAGGGTGGCACCTGCCATGGGGCTGGGCTGTCACTGTGACACCTGCCATGGGGCTGTTCTGTCAGTGTGACACCTGCCATGGGGCTGGGCTGTCCTGTCAGTGTGACACCTGCCATGGGGCTGGGCTGGGCTGTCACTGTGACACCTGCCATGGCGCTCTCTGGGCTGTGTGACACCTGCCATGGGGTCTGTGTGACCTGCCATGGGGCTGCTCTGGGACACTTGCCACCAAAGATTGCTCATGGTGTGCTTTAAGGGCTGGGTGATCATTCCTAAGCTCTGAAGATCCATAGCTTGAGAGGCAGAGTGCTGAAGTTCTGGGCTGACAAAGCCCTCCTGCTGTCATGGATCCACCGGGAATTTTACACATTTCTCCTTCTCAGTGCTGCCTTTTCACTCACGTTTGCAGGTGCTTTTCAGTCCAGCTCCTCCTGGAGCTGCCAGCAGTGTCACTGCCCAGGGACACCCCTGGTTTGGGAGCACCATGACCCATGGCTGTGCACTGACTCAGGTCTTTGCCAGCTGATTTCAATCCCACATGTGGGGCTCTGGGGTCAGTGCAGCTGATGTGGATGCATCCTGACAACGTGCTGTGGGTTTTCCACACAAATATGCAATATTTAAGTACTCCCAGTGCCCTGGGCAGTTACTTTCTCATCACAAGCTGCTCACAGCTGTCTGTTACTTCTTGCAAGTGTCACTTATTTTGTAGATTTTCTTGGTGCTTCATCTGGCAGCCACCAGTTATGTCCAGTTTTTAGTCTCCCATTGTATCTCCAAAACAGCTCCATTAATTTTGACAGTTCACACATGCCTTAACAGCCCCAGCTTATTGACTGTTCCTGCTTGGGGATGCATTTGATCCACTGGGTAAATCAAGCAAGCTTCTGAGAACCTGAATAATTCTGGATCAATAAGGTCTGATAAATACATATGTATGCATCTGTATGTATCTTCCTTTTGTTTATAAATAAGACTGGAATGTAACAGAGGGAGAAAAGGCAATTGGCTTTTTGGCCCTCTGAGGTGAAAGTTGATTTAAGAACCATATAGAGAAAGAGAGCAGAAATACTTCTTCTGGTCTGGAAAATTGCTGACACAACATGTGCTCTGAACCACGTTTGATTACACTGGTTTAAGTGATGCTTGAAAGGTTTTATTCAGGAATCTGGACAGAAGTTTATAGAGAAATCAATTCTGAATTAAATCAAATCCTGCCAGGGATCTTTGTCATGTTTGGTCCCCTGTGGTGTAAATTCTTCGCTCATGGCAAGTGCTGCAGGAGGAGCTGAGTGCCTGCCCCTGCCTGCCGGTGGCTGATGGGCACTGTCCCCAGAGCCAGCAGGAACTGCAGGGGCCAAGAGGCTCCTCAGAGCCCAGCAAGAGCCCACAGCCTCACTCTGGGGCTTTTTTTGTATTGGGGTGACAAATGCTGCTGTGGTTGGACCTCCCCTGCCTGCCAAGGGCAAAGGAGAGTCTTTGCTGGCAGCCTCGGACTGCGGAACACGGAGAATTTGGTAAGTGCCACAGGAGGAGAGCTGGCAGCCCAGCTGATAAACACAGAGCCAGGGAATTGTTTAAGAGTGAGGGTAATAAAACAGGCAAAAACTGGTGAAAAACTCCTCAAACGTTCCAGCCAGGGGGAACTAACAGTTCTTTTAAATGTTGTGTGCGTGAGTCTCTGTGTTTGTCCTGGGTGCAGGGCAGTGTCCCTCACTGCACTGTTCTCCCTCGGATGGACAGGAGCAGTGTTTGTGTTTGGATTTGTGGCTGCAGGGCAGTGTCCCTCTCTGTTCCTCAGGTGGACAGGAGGAGTGTTTGTGCTCAGTTTTGTGTCCCTCACATCTCCCTGTTCCCCAGGTGGACAGGAGGAGTGTTTGTGTTCAGTTTTGTGTCCCACAGGTTTGGATCTGTGTCCCTCACATCTCCCTGTTCCCCAGGTGGACAGGAGGAGTGTTTGTGTTCAGTTTTGTGTCCCACAGGTTTGGATCTGTGTCCCTCACATCTCCCTGTTCCCCAGGTGGACAGGAGGAGTGTTTTCAGCGACAGGAGCAGCGTGGCCCCGTACTCGGACGAGGAGGAGGATGGCTACGACTCGCCCAAGGTCAAGCGGCGGGGAGCCTCGGTTGATGATTTCCTGAAGGAGTCAGAGCTTGGAAAGCAAGTGAGTAGCTTGGTTTGCTGTGGTGCCAGGGGCTCAGCAGCAGCCGGGGATCTCAGGGGGCCAGCTCTGCCAGGTCACTCTGAGGGCTCTGGCTGTGACACAGGTGACACATGTGACACAGGTTATACAGGTGACACAGGCTGTGACACAAGTCACACAGGCTGTGACACAGGTGACAGGTTATACAGGTGACACAGGTTATACAGGTGACACAGGCTGTGACACAGGTGACACAGGTGGTGACACAGGTGGTGACACAGGTTATACAGGTGACAAGGCTGTGACACAGGTGAGGCTGAGCCGTGGGCAGGGATGCTCCTGTCCCTGTCGCTGTCCCAGGGGTCTCCTGAGCATCCTCCCTCCCAGCAGCCGCAGGCACGGGGAGCTGGACCCGTGGGGGTGGCAGAGCACACAGAGCTGGGCTGCCCTGTGTGAGGTGTCACTGCTGGGTGACAGCTGCTCTGGGAAAGGGGAAGGATTCCTGTGCATGAAGGCATCCCCTGTAACCTGGCAGGAAACAAGCATGGTGTGGCATTGGCTCCAAGGAATGGAAAGATGTTGCCAGAAGAATTTTGCACAACTGCACAGCTTTTAGTCTGATCCCACTGAAAACAAATATTAAATATTTTTTTACATTACTTTCAAGAGAGATGTAAAGTCTGGAAAAGAGATGTTTTCTTATGTCTTGGCATAGTTTAAAAATCTTTAGTCTAAGACCTGACTGCCTGTTGAGGGTCCACAATGGTGGTAATATGCTGCAAGAATTAAATGCTGATCACTTTTAAATTATAATGTGATGTAACAAACAGCTGCAAGGAACAGATGATCTGTGAATTGTCCTCAGGCTTTCACAATTTGGTCAGCAAGTCCACTGATGCATGAAGGACCCCTTTAATAAGGGGAATTTAATCAAGACTAAACTAGATTGGGTGCTGTGAATGGCGATGTCCTTTACTGATCACCTGGCATGAGGCTGGATCTCTAGAACTGCCATCATAAAAGGGCAGAGCAGAAGTTGCAGGGCTGTGCCCAGCAGAGCAGAGCCCGCTGGCTGCCCGGGGCCAGCAGGATCAGCACTCCAGCAGCGAGCTGTCTGTGTCCCCTCAGGCTCACTACTGCCTGGGGGATGAGTACCACACGGAGAGCAGCCGGGGCTCCGACCTGTCCGACATCCTGGAGGAGGATGAGGAGGAGCTGTACTCGGAGATGCAGCTGGAGGAGGGCCGGCGGCGCCTGAGCCTCACCTCGCACGGCGCGCTCAAGGTGAGCTGGGCACCCCTGGGTGCAGCCTCTGCAGCTCCCTGTCCGGGCAGCTGGGGCTGGCTTTAGTGCCTTTGTCGTTATGGGATAGATAAACTTCCTGGGTGTTTTCCTGTATGTGGTTGTTGCACTTGCAATTTCTGTTCTGCATCTGGGGACCTTCCCCTGTCTCTGTGAGGATATACTGCATGTGCTACCCCGGAAAATGAGTTGTTTCTGAACAAGGAGATCTGTAAAAACTTACCAAACAACTTCTGGTTTTCCTGTCTGAGTGGTTTGTCCATGTACCCAGTGCTGGTCCCATCCCTTCCACAGGCTTAAAGCATTCCTGTAAGAAAGGGAGTTGTTTCAGCTTTGTTTGATCAATGCTTTGTCAGAACTCCGTGTGCTCTGAATTTTAGGGAATCACCAGAGAGAGTAGGAAATACGTTCCAGAAATACTGCTTTAGTACAGGAATATTCATCATGAAAGAAACTTCAGTGCAACAACTCAAGCACATGCAGAACACCAAACACACCCAATACTGAATATATATTTGCCATATTATATTTGTACATGTGAATTGTATTTGCTTCTTTATGTGTGTAGTAGTTACACAAACTGGGTTTTCTTAGGAAGCACAAACCCACAGGTTAACTGGTTCTTCAGCAGATTGCTGTTTAACTAAAATCAGTACTATTTTGTCATGCATACAAGAATTCTGACCATTCTTATGGCTGCTTTCACGTGCTGTAAATTCAGTCCTTTTATCCTGATACTGTCTGCAGTGAGACAGGTCCCTTTTCAAAAGAAGAAATTACCAGTGTTTGTATTACTGCACCAGCACAAAGGTTGAAACCAAAATCCTTGTGTGCTCATTGTATCCCCTTCCCCTGGCAAAAAGAATAATCCCCACACTGTTCTTGTTCTTTGTGCATCAGAAGGTGTATTTACTTCTTGGATTTAAATTAGTTTTACCAGTGTTGATATTGAGAAAGTTCCAGAGCCTTAACTGGTGTAGGAAATGGTTTTTGACCTGCGAAGGTTTGCAGGCTTCTCTTGATGTAGTTCATGCTTATGCTCTGTTTTCCACTTCTGTGGCGCTTTATCTCAAGTTTCACAGGCGTTATACACATTTTGGAAACAAAGGAAAATAGGTGAAACAGTCTAAAGTAACTTGGAAAGTTCCCTCTGCCTGGAAGGGGACGAGATTCAAACGGCAGCTAAGTTTAGACTGCTCAGAGAGAGATGGTGCTGACATCTGCAAGAGGATCTGTCGTTATTTCTGGGTGCTCCTGAGCCCAGAGATGCCCCTGATCCGGGCATTAGGCACAAGGAGAGATGATCTCTGATGCAGAATCAATAATCCTGGCAGTCAGAGCCAGCACCTCCTGCCCTGTGCTCCCTTCCCTCTCCCAGAGCCCCCAAGGCACTCCCAGGGTTCTTTGTCAGTGGTTTGTGGAAATGGAATAAGAAAATTGCACATGTATCTGCATGTCCAGAATCTTGCTTTACCCGGGCTGGGATAGTTTTGACCTGCTTCTGGCACAAACAGACTTTCATGTCTGCTCATAGGCTGCTGTTCAGGCACTGGTTTTGTGAAGCAGGTACAAGATCAGGGTGGGGTTTGATGGCAGTGCAGACCAAGTGGCATCAGAGGGCAGCCTGTGTCCCAGGGGGCTTTTCCCTGCGAGCCAAGCTTTGAAAATGGTGCAGGCTGTTTAGAAAACCAGAACTCCTTCAGTGATGGCTTGGAGTAGCTCTCCTCTGACAGGAGACTGAAGACATTTGCTGCTTCTGTAGGCAGCCTTAAGAGATGCAAAGCAAGCGAGCTTGCTAGGGCAGAGCTGTCGTTCTCAGATATGAGAAAATCAGGTGGCAGTTTGGCACGGGGCAAGGAAGGAGTTTCAGTGCCATTCTCACCCACCATGCTGGACCCTGTATGTGGCCTCCATCACTCTGTTCAGATGCATGAGTTTATTCTTGTTAAGAGCATCACTCAGTTGTTTGTACTGACCTCTCATGTTGTACCTGGCACCCAGCAACTTCTTAATCACGTCTTTATTTTTCACAGATCCTCATTCAAAGCATGACATCCTTTTCATGATATAAGCTGCATGTCTTGTGTTTGCCATTGCTCTAAAACTAATTCTGTCTTTATTTTTCTTTTCTCCCTTTTCCCTCCCATTTTATTTTTGTCACACACTCTTTGTTCCCTGTCTGGTTTTTAACATTACATAATCTTAAGGAGTACGATAAGAATAAGACCACTGAAGCCCCTTTTTTGGAACAGCCTGGCTTTCCCCAGCAGACACACCACAGTAAAAGGCTTTTCAGTATTCCAGAAGTGGCTGAAGAGGACGGTGAATACTCTGAAGTGCTGTACAAGCAGGGTTTAGGTATGCCCTATAAAAAGAACCCCAGAATAGCTAGAGGCCCCAGGGCTCGCAGGCCCGGCCGTCGGGAGCAGCAGCACAGCCCCCGGTACCCGGGCAAGGCCAGGGCGGGGCTGCAGGAGCTGGACGAGCGAGGATGCAGAGGCAGAGGCAGGCAGCCCCTGTCCCGCAGCCCCGACAGCGGGCTGGACTGCGGCAGCGAGGAGGAGGAGCAGCCCCGGCACGGCTGGGGGCCCTGGGGCAGCGATGAAGAGCAGCCCTGGCACAGTTTCACACCCCAGAGGGGCAGCGATGAAGAGCAGTGCAGGTTTGGTGTCAGAGCCCAAAGGGGCAGCGATGAAGAGTGGTCCAGGTTCAGTGTCGGACCCCAGTGGGGCAGTGATGAAGAGGAGTCCCGGTTCGGTGTCAGACACAGGAGTGGCAGTGAGGAAGAGGAGATCCGGCACACTGTCAGACCCCACTGGGGCACTGATGAAGAGCAGCCCCGGCACAGTTTCAGACCCCACTGGGGCAGTGATGAAGAGCAGCCCCAGCACGGCTTCAGACACAGGCGTGGCACTGATGAAGAGCAGCCCCGGTTCGGTGTCAGAGCCCAAAGGGGCACTGATGAAGAGGAGTCCCGGCACGGTTTCAGACCCCAGAGGGGCAGTGATGAAGAGCAGCACGGTTTCAGACACAGGAGTGGCAGTGGCACTGATGAAGAGGAGTCCCGGCACGGTTTCAGACCCCAGAGGGGCAGTGATGAAGAGCAGCCCCGGCGCGCTGTCAGAGCCCCGCGGGACCCCGAGCCCTGTCCCTGCCGGAGGGGCTCCCGGCCGCTGCTGGCCCGCAGGAGGACGCTGACCAGGCAGAGCAGCATCGAGGAGGATTTCGGGGAGCTGGCAGCCCCGGCCGGGGGGGCCCAGGGCAGCGGGGGCCGCAGAGCCCAGGAGGGGCAGGGGGGCTGGAAGAGCCACCCTCAGCCAGCTGGCCCTAGGGCAGCTGCTGTCCTTGCAAAGCCACCCCACAGAGATGCAGAAGACTCTCTGGTGTGTGAACTATCTTCCTTCTAACATCTGCTTGCCAAATCAGTCTGTTTTCTTTAGTCTCTTTATTTTTTGTTCTTTTTTTTTTTGTTGTTGTTGTTCTTTTTTCTTTTTTTTTCCCCAAGTTGATTTTTGAAGTCCGTCCTTTGGACCCATCTGCTACATTTTCCCCCCCATTTTTTTTTTCTTCCCCATTCATTTTGGTTTATTACTCTGCATTTTCATTTATGGTCCTCTTTAGTGTCATGCTGAAATCAGATTAATTTGCTTTGCAATGATTTTCCCCCCAAACAAATTACAATAATGGCTGCTTTTATTAAAGGACAACTGAATCTAAATTTTAATTAAGGGTTAGCTGAACTATAATTTTTCCAAAAGATTGCTTTTCTTTATTTTGCCCATCTGAATGTTGCTCAAAAAAAAAAAAAAAAAAAAAAGCTGCATTTTTAACTGGAGAAATGTCTCATCCATGTTTTTAATTTTTTTTTATTATTGTCAAGGAATTCATTTCATCATGTTGTTTTTATTCATCTCATTCCCAGAATTTTCAGGATATGCTCTTTATCATGGAACATCTCAAGACAAGAACCAAGATTCTCCCCCAGTGTGACAGTGACCCAGATTTATGGAGTCACAGCTTCATCATTTTCATTTTCTGCCTTATCTCTGCGCTGTCACCACGCTGCCGTCCTTGTTAGACCATCTCTTCTTGCCTTTGAAGTTGCAGACTGCATCTCTGCAGAGAATGCAGGCACAGAGCTGCTTCCAGGGGGAGCCCAGGGCCCCTCCCCACCTGCCAGGGATGCTCTGCAGCGCCTTGCCTCTTTGCATTTCTGCCCAGTAATGTCCAGAGGAGCCTCCAGCTGTGGGGATGCATCCCCAGAGAGCAGAGCCAGCCCTGCAGCACCCGGGCTGCACACCACTGCATCCTGACAGGAGAGCAGGGCTCACTGTGCTCCTGGAGCTGCCAGCCCAGGCTGGAATCACCCCTGCAGCTCCTCCCAGCAGAAGTGGTGCCCGGGCTGGGCTCACGCCAGTGACAGCAGGACAAGCTCTGGAGAGCTGCCACAATCCCTGCAGGCCCCAGGCAGCTGAGCCAGGTGGAGCCTGCAGCCCTCCTGCACTGCCCTGACCGTGCAGACCCTGCCAGGCCAGGACCAGGGTGCCCGGGGTCACCAGGAGTGCCCGGGGCCACCAGGAGTGCCCGGGGACACCAGGGGTGCCCAGGGCCACCAGGAGTGCCCTGGCTCCCTGCTGCACCTCCTGAGCTGGGACTGCAGGTGTGCCCTGCCAGGTGTGCCCTGCCAGGTGTGCCCTGCCAGGTGTGCCCCAGCTGCACAGCTCTCAGCCTGCCCGTGCCACTCTTCAGGACACCCAAACGCCACCTTAGCCGCAACAACAAAGGCAAAAGAATATTTCAGAAGTTATTCTTTTGTTTTCTTTTCGTTCTGACGTGTGACTGCTGGTTTACAAAGCTCTGCCATAAATCAAGGAACCATTTTTTTTCTTTTGCAGGTTTGCCAGGCAGCAGTACTCACTTTTCAGCTAACCTTTCAGTTAAAAGCTAAGTTTAGTTGCCTTTAGAGCTTATGCTTCCAATTGTGATTGACCTGATTCATGTCCGGCCGTGTAACCACGATGTCGCCATGCATGGAACTGACAAGCCTGTTCTTTCTGTCGTTGTTTTTTAGCTTTTAGGTAACCCAGCCTCTGCAGGACGGCCTGACAGGGTGGAGCATGCAGGGCGAAGGTCCTCCCATGGCAGTGCAGTGCCACAAAGGTCTCGGCCCCTGCTGGTCCCTTCCATTGGTTAGTTGGACAGAGCGGTGCATTCCTGGTTTTGCAGCCTCAGGGCTGGGAGGAAATCCTTAAAAACCAACGGAGTTGGGAGGAAATCCTTAAAAACCAACAGCAGGCTGTAGTCTGGAGCCAGGCTGCTCCTGGTTTAGAGGGGTGAAATGGGCTGCAGGCAGCTCTGCTGGCAGGAGCCTGCTGGGCTTCCCAGGGTGAGAGTCAGCACTCCCTGACACTGCTGGGAGCTTTTCCTGCCCCTCAGTGGCTGCTGAGAGTGTTTAAGCTTGCTTGAGCTTAGACAGAGTTGGATCTCAGCTCAAATCTGCTGGCAGGTACTTTATGGTCAGTGAAATCAGTGTGGCCATCCAGGCCTCCATCCAGCCATGCACCCTGCCATTCATCAGCCATCATTTTGTGTTCACTTGCCAGTCTCTGGACTACTTTTTTCATTAATTCATGGCAAACTCTTGCAAACCTAACAAAAATGGCTTTTATGTGAGCTGTGCAAATGTCAGTCTGGTACAGGAAATCAGCCCAGCTTCCAGTGCAGGTTTTAGAAGCTTTTCTTTAAAATAGAAACTTGCTAATAAAAAACCCCAAAAACCCACCAAGCTTTATAGGACATGCAGTGAGGTTGGGGGTTCTTTCACTGAAATGCCAAACACGTTTCAAATATTAATGGGAGAGTTGGATGATGAGGCCAACTTGCATTACTGAATTGTTCTTCTCTGAATTTGCTTTCACAGATGGCTATGGTGATCATGACCGTCTTTCTCCAGACATTTACGAGGAATCTGAAACAGATGCTGGCACAGAAGATCTTTCTACTCGAATATTTGTTGCACTTTTTGACTACGACCCGCTGACGATGTCCCCGAACCCCGATGCTGCAGAGGAGGAGCTGCCCTTTAAGGAGGGACAGATCATTAAGGTGAGATCTGAAACCAAAGGAAGCCAGGACACTTCTACAGAAGCACTTTTACAGCAGGCTCTCCTTTGTGCCCTGGAGAACGCTGCCTGTGTGAGCAGAACCCAGGGGCTCCCCCCTCAGAGCTTCAGGCTGCCAATCTCACTGGGGCTGGTAATTAATGTCCAGTGCTAATGGCTCAGAAATGATCACAAAGATCTCGGAGTTGCTGTAGATAGTCAGGGCCAGTCCTTGTTAAAGATTCAGGTTAAGCCCAGAATTGTGACTCTGAAGCTCCCAGTCCCTTGGCACAAGCCCTGCAGGGAGAGCGGCTTCGGAGGGACCTTGGCAGAGCGGTGGCAGCAGAGCAGAGCTGCAGGTGCTGAGCTCTCCTAGCTAACACGCACCCCAGATGAATGCAAGCCCCACACTGGCTGTTCTGTTCCCTTTTCTGGCAGTTTGGTGCTTGTTTGCAGCCCGGGAGCTGGGCACCACCACAGGGGCAGGAGGAGCAGCTGTGCCAGCCCAGGGCAAATTGGGCTTTTGGGGCAGTCTGGGACAGAACCCCAAAAATGCCCAGTCCTTTGAACATTACCCATTTCAGAGACTAATTGTAATTAGAACTGGTAAATACTGACTGCCTTCCACTGTGTTGGGCTGGGCCCTAACACGGATGTCTGCACCTAGCTCACAATCTTCGTGCTGTTAAATATTTTGTTTAGTGTTTTGCTTACCTCACATGGTACAAGGTTTATGCCAAAGAAAAACAACTTGTTTAAGAGCTTCTTTTCCTCTACAAGAACATTCATTTAATTCAGCTATTTTTTATATACCTTAAGTCATGTTTTTAAATTAAATCGGGAGACAATAGCAGAGCTTAAGTCCATTATGTATGAGATAAGCATTTTTGGTCGTATAAGTTACTTGAATCAAAATAATAACATTTTGGCACCAGTTTGCAAATGTTTCATTTTGAATATAGTGCCATAATAATTCCATAAACATCGAGTAAACATCTGGCTCAGCACAGTGAGAAACTGATGGCTTTTGATGCACTTTTTTGTCCTTTTCACTGCCAACAGAAAAAAAAGTCCAAATTCTGCTTATGTATCTGAAGTCACAATTCAAACAAATACAACAATTCTAGTTTTATAACCTAAGTCAGAGTGGTCCAAAACTATAATTCCACATCTAAACTGCAGTTGTCATCTGTGCTTTAGTCCCCCTTAGCCTGCTCTGGAGTTCCTGAATGCTAAAACCTTTTTGACCAATGTGATTGTTCTTTGAATATCAGGTTTATGGGGACAAAGATGCTGATGGGTTTTACCGTGGAGAAACCTGTGCAAGAGTTGGCCTTATCCCCTGCAATATGGTCTCTGAGATACAGGCAGATGATGAAGAGATGATGGATCAGCTTCTTAAACAAGGTTTCCTTCCTTTGAACACTCCAATTGAGAAAATCGGTAAGGGAAAACAGACATTCCCTTCACACTCCTGGCTCTCTTAGCCTGGCTGCATCCACTTTACCTCTTGTTTTTGTGCAGATGCAGCTACATTTTGCAGTCATTTACTGTCCCAGGGGATACATTCTGTGTCAGTGTCTGGGTGACTTTATACAACCAATATTTAACCTTGGTGATAGCAGTGGCTGCAAACGGGGACCTGCAGCTTCACCACTCCACTTGTTGCTTTCTTTTCTGATTTTAAAGAAAAAAAAAAAAGTGGATTTTGTGTCCTGAAATATTTCTGGGCACAGAGCACAGTCCCTGAGCTGTGGAGTCTGCTGTGCACAGTGGGCTGGGGGTTGTGTGCCTCAGACCAGAGAGGGGCAGGGCAGAGTTATTGACTGTTATTATTGTCTGTGGGCCGTGCGTGGCTGCACAGCCTCACCTGTGTGGGTGTGGGAAAGGGTGTGGCTGTCACCTGTGCCACGGCAGTGCCACGCTGCTCCCGCTCTGCTGCAGGAGCCCGTGAGCAGCAGCAGCTGCAGGGCTGTGCTGTGGCAGTGACTGCAGTGCCTGAGCCAGTGACTGCAGTGCCTGTATCAGTACCTGAGTGCCTGTATCAGTGACTGCAGTGCCTGTGGCAGTGACTGCAGTGCCTGTATCAGTACCTGAGTACTTTTATCAGTGACTGCAGTGCCTGTGGCAATACCTGAGTACCTTTATCAGTGACTGCAGTGCCTGTGGCAGTGACTGCAGTGCCTGTGGCAATACCTGCAGTACCTATATCGATACCTGCAGTACCTATATCGATACCTGAGTACCTGTATCCATACCTGAGTACCTGTATCAGTACCTGAGTACCCATGGCAGTACCTGAGTACACATGGCAGTACCTACGGCAGTACCTGCAGTACCTTTATCAGTACCCGTGGCAGTACCCATCGCAGTACCCAAGTACCCGTGGCAGTACCTGTATCAGTACCCGTGGCAGTACCTGTATCAGTACCCGCGGCAGTACCTGTATCAGTACCCGAGTACCCGCGGCAGTACCTGTATCAATACCCATGGCAGTACCTGTATCAATACCCATGGCAGTACCTGTATCAGTACCCGAGTACCCGCAGCAGTAACCCTCTCTCTTCCCCGAGCAGAGCGCGGGGGCCGGCGCGGGGGCCGGCAGCAGCCGCTGACCACCCGGAGGATGGTGGCTCTCTATGACTACGACCCCAGGGAGAGCTCCCCCAACGTGGATGTGGAGGTAGGGGCAGAGCCCGTGGGGCTGGGGGCGCCCCGGGGGCACAGAACCTGGCAGCTTCCTCAGGCGCCCTTTAAAATGTTGTTTGGGTTTGGTTTCAGTTGGTGAATTGTAGAAGGAGAAAGTGAGATTTGAAATATGTGGGACTTGGTGCTTTAAAACACAGCCTGGGTTGTTTTCTGTTTCCTGTTGAACCAAATCTTTTTCTAAATTATGGTGTTTCGAAGTAGTTTGGCCAACAAATCAAATAAATTGTGCTGATGTATTGCAAAGATTTTGTTTGTTCTTTCTCCCTTGACCACAGGAAATTAAGCATAATTTAAAAGCCCCGCCCTAATTGCTTTTAAGCCCCAGACAATTAAAAGAGCCCGGTGCCCTGTGTGCTGCTCAGGGAGGAGCTGCCGGTGTGAAGGTTTTTGAAGAGGATCCAGCACAGCTCCAGTGCAGGAGCGTTGTGCCTCGGGGGCTGGGCTGGGTGATGTGCAGAGCTCCTGTGCAGCTCCCTGAGCTGTTCTGCACCTCAGGCTTAGCAAGCTGAGTTAAAAACCCCAAGGAAAGAAAACCAAGAGGTTTGTCTCCCAAAGATCAATTCGGTTTCACCAGTGTCTTAGCATGAATCTGAGTGGATTCCCTGTGATAAGAAAAGGCTGATCTTTGCCTGTCCCTGCTCCTTCCCTGCAGGCCGAGCTGACGTTCTGCACTGGGGACATCATCACTGTCTTTGGTGAGATCGATGAAGATGGGTTTTACTACGTAAGTTGGGTCTGCTGGCTCACCCCAAACTGCTCCCAGCCTCACCAAACACCAGCCTGGGGAGGGGATGTGGAATTGTCAGAGCTCTCAGCATCCCCAGGGGCCTTAGATGGGAATTTCCTCTTGAAAGAGGCAAAGCCTTGAAAGAGGCAAAAATATGTCCCTGCCTCCTTGGGAATAAATGTGATGGGGTGAAAGTGCTCACGGAGCCTTCCCTGTGCTCCAGGGTGAGCTCAACGGGCAGAAGGGGCTGGTTCCTTCCAACTTCCTCGAAGAAGTGCCTGACGACGTGGAAGTGTTCCTGTCCGAGGCGCCCTCGCGCCACGCGCACGACGCGGCCCTGCGACCCAAGGCCAAAAGGGTAAGCTGCCCACTCAGCAACACCTGAGCTTCCACCTGCCATTTCATCCTGTCTCGTGTGTAATTCTGACTTCACTTTACACATTACCTTTCAATTCATTTGCCCATTTAAGGTTGTCTTTCAAATATATAAAATAAAACGTGAGGGAAAGTGGCTTTGGCCTTCGCTAGCTCGTTACATTTGTAAATGGAGAAACGAAATTGGCTGGTTGATTGCAGCCATTACAGTACCGTCCTTTATGACCTGAATTTAAGCAGCTCTTTCCTGGTGATAGCTATTTCCCAAAGCTTCTAAACTGCTCTTACTAAAAAGGTCCTTGTGCACAAAAGACTGGTACCAGTGTTCCTCTAAATACAAACTGTAACTGCAGCTGCTGGACTGACAGTGGTCATCTCTTAATCCTTACAACTTCCCCTTCCAATTAATTGCTCAGAGACTTCTCTTCCATGAAAGAATTAATCATGTTTAGAGTATCTCATTTTTGGTTTTGTTTCATCACTGCAATACTTTTATATATTATATATTTTATATATATTTTTATTTCTTTGCTCATCTGCTTGGAAACAGAAGAAGAGTGTTCATTTCACACCTTAATAAGGCAATGTAGCCTTCACGTAAGTGAGCAACTGAAGATACCAATAGAGATTTCAATTAAAGCTACCTGGCTATCTAATGCAAGTCTTGAAACTTAATTGTGGGGGAAAAGAAAAGAAATATGTCTCCAAACCCCTTGGCCACAGAAGAGCAGGCTGCATGCCTTTGCTGTACCTAGTCAAGTCCACTCCTTTGTTGGGAGCCAAATCCTTTGAATCAGGAACGCTCTGCAATCCATCAGCCCTCCCTTTGCAAGGGCAGCGTTTGGAACATATTTCTTCCCGAGCTCAATGTTTATGTTTACATAGAGAGGAGAGTTTGATGTCTAACTACCCTGCAAACAAAGCTGCATATTGCATTGCTAGCCAAGCTGGGATGTAAAAGTTCCAAGCTCCTGTGTCAAGAGAAAAGCACAACAGCTGCAGCCCTTGCAGAGGCAGCAGTGCTGGCACGGACAGCAGTTTACAAGGGGATAGTTGGCTCTGAAACTCACTGCACTCAAACACAGCTGCTCAAATTGTCTGCCTTAAAACGTGTTTTCCACAATGGATTATAGCCCAGTTTGCCTAAGACCAACTATTCAACACTTCTGGAAAAAGCCCCTCCCTTGGTCCAGTTCCCTGGGATTTTTCCTGGGAGTTACATTTGCAATATTGGCAACTGTTTGGTTTACCAATGCAATAGAGTCTCGACCTGAAACATGCAGCTCACTGAAGGAATGCATTAGACTCGATATCTGGTATCTTCAGGTGTACGTTGGGGTGCTTTACCAAGTTGTTTTGGTTTGGTTTTGGTTTGTTTTTTTGGTTTTTTTTTTCATTAGAATTAGACCTTGATTTAAAATCAAAGTAGGCTTGAAGCCCCTTTGCTTAACTCACTGTTGCACACCGAGCCAGTCAATTGCTGATGTTTTCACTTGAGCTGCAAGCCAGCAGGCCTCCCCACAGCATGGATTCACTATGAAAATACCTTAATTGATAGTAACCATTGTGCCAGCTGGGCACTGTAGTTAGGATAGCCTGAGTATATGTAATTTTAGCATTTTCATCCAAGTGCTTTTGATGACTAAAAAAAAAAAAAAAGCTGTTCAAAATATTTAGGAATGCTGTCACCTAACAACCTCATAGCTGCAGCATACACATCAAGCACTCAGGGCCTTTAAGCTTTCTTTGATTGCAATTAAGGTTCATTTTAGCTTTTTCTTTTTCCTTTTTTTTTTTTTTTTAAGCCAGTGTGCCATCTTCTCTAATCTGTACATAAAGTTTGCTAGCCAATTTTAAAGAAAAGGCATTTAAAGGACATTAAAAAGTAAGTGATCATGTAGCATTTTAAGTAATTTCTTCTGAAAAGAGTTTGGCTTCTATAGATTGCTAATCTGTAGTAATTAACATGTTTATTTTTCTTAAATCTATAGCTGAAAGTATCCCTTCCATTTTAGTACTATCAGAGTACTGAAATGAAAAACCAAAGCCAGTTTTGTGGCTTTTGTGGCCAGAATTCTGGCAAAGCAAGTATATCCAACATTTCCTTTAAAAAGGTATAACCAAAACTGGGCTTTATTGGTGGGGTTTTGATTTCTATACTTTTTTTTCTCTAAATTGATGTATTTTCCATAAGCCCACACAGTATTTTAAGCCAGAGAGAAGAAAGAAACCAGCCCTTTTGTTTAAGTGGGTAATGGGACAAGGGATGTTGCCAAGTTTCTTGCTGCTGATGGCTTTGAGGCGTTCAAAGATTGAATAAATGATAACAATGTACCTACTAGGTTCCTCCCGAGAATACAGGTACAGCCCGGCGAGCAGCTTCCCCCACAGTCCAGCTCCACCCCGGGTCACCTCCGGCACCCATGCTGGGCTCTGGTAGCCCCGCGAGAGGCAGGGATGTGGCCTCGAAAAAGAAAAAGGGGCTGCTTTCCAAAGGCAAGAAACTGCTGAAAAAGCTTGGTGCAGTGAAATGAGTCATGTGCTCCTGGACAACTTGTAAAGCTTCCAGTCTGTGTACTTTTTTTTTTTTTAAAAGTCAAAACTAGGGCTTTCATGACTATGCAGTACTTTACCAGACCGTTGCATTTTTAACTCTGACATCAATAGAATCATGCCAATTGCTTAATCAAAACAGCAAGAGAAAGAGGGAAATGGATTTGTTGTTGCAAAAACGTTTTTTTAAAAGTAAAAAAAAAAAAAAAAAAAAAAAAGTTATGGGATTAAGACCAGAAGAACATGGTTTTATTTGAAGTCATCTCAACACCTCCAACTCCACTGAAAAATCTCAGCCTTTAGTCTCCTTTAACCATGACTGGGGGGAGAAAACTCTCTTCACTGTTTGCTAGTTCAGGGAGATCACCCCCCCTGTATCCAGTCATTAACAGAAATGGTCTTGAAACTCCTAGTTGAATCAGCCTTGATGTTTTGCCTTATTAATGCACAATGATTTGTACTGTCTAATAAATATGCAGCGTATCCTTTGTATGTACTGTGTGTTCAGCTGTCTCCATCCTCCCTCCACCACGAAGGAACACTGGTCCTGCCCCAGCCCCGATGGACTCCTGGGAGTGTGCAAGTGCTGTGCTGAGCGCTTTTCAGTTTTTGCTGCCCCAGTAGAAACCAAAACCTTGCACTGGTTTGCCATTCTCCCTGCCCCGGAACCAGGCAGTGTCAGTTACTCGAACCTCACCCCATTTCAGCCCTCCACCTCGTTTGGGGCTCCTGGTTCCCTGCTCTAAGCTGCTGGGAAAAGCCAGCTGCACACCAGAACCTCTCTGCTCCCCCAGTTTCTTTTCCGTGGAGGGTCAGTCCTAGGTTAAAGGCATTTCCATGCTGCTGCTGTCAGACTGAGGCTCAGGTCCATCCAGAGGGAAGGACAGTGCCACAGCACAGCCCCTGCCAGGCTGCAGCAGGCTCCAATCAAACCCCAACTGCAACATTGGCATACCACAAAAAACAACCCTACACACCGATGGCAGTCATTGGCTGTTACTATTTTGTAATTCTTGTCCATTTGTAAATTGTTTTTACTGTTTATACATACTTTTCAGACTGCCTTTCTTTTTGTAATTTACGGAAGGTTTATAAATGAATGATCAAAGCTTCCCCATTGTGTCTTCAGATAACAATGTAAATGACTGTAAAATACTGTGTGCTAGATTATAACATTTAATTAAAGAAAATAACTGGCCTACATTTGTGGTAAAGTACTGTGTGGGTGTGTGCATGTGTACAAGCGTTGTGTATTATATTTTATATAAATAAATCATTTGATATTTTGTAGAGTGCAGTATGTTTCATAAATCCACTGTGTCAGCTGCTGGCTTCTGGTGTCAGCCTTTTTTCAGAACTGTCCACGGCTGCTGAAGTTCACTGCAGAACAAAGAAAGGCTCCTCTAGCTGCAGGAGCTTGCCAGAGGTGAAAAAGGGTTGCAAAGTTACTCCAGCCATTGTCCCACGTGTGCCCAAAGCCCAGCAGTGAAGTACAAAATACACAGAACAGGCCCAAACGGGCAAGCATTACAGCAACAACTTTATTTAAATCTCATAAAGAAAAGCAACAAGGTTCACAACAAGGCGGTTAAGAAAACCAGCACTAATCTGAATTTCTCTACATGCAGTAGTTTGACTCTGCTACTGCAAAATTCTGAAATCAACCTCCCTCCCCACACCTGCTGCTAGTTTCACAAAATGGGCTGCAGAACAGTGACCAATGAAAACCTCAGACGTGAACAAACCAGGGCTGCTTGCCACTGCTTGGAACTACAGACCAAAACCCCAAGCCTGGCAGTGCGCTGACAGTCCTGCAGGAATGCATTTCTGTTCAGAAGCCTGTGTTACACTGCACCAGGCCAGCTCTGTCCGGAGCCCCTCCTGGCACCGCGAGTCACAGGCAGAGCAGCAGGGCCCAGGACATCCCTGAGCCCCGGGCCCAGCCCAGCAGCTGAGCCGGGGGCTGGCACACACAGCAGCCCCTGAGCCTGCAGAGCCCTCGCTGCCCCCAGGGAGAGCCACGGCAGCACCACAGCTTGTGGCTGCTCTGCAAATCCTCCCAACGAACGGTGCAAACCCTTGCAAGGCTCTGCATCACCTTCAAACAAAGCCGTGGTAACCAAGAGCATCTGGTCACCTCCTCTTAAGGTATGAAACAGTTCAGGAGACAAATGTGGCCCTCATTTTAACCAAGAAAAACAAGGAATCAACAGTATTGAAGCATTTTGAAAATTAGAAGGGTAAATACTAGTGGAAGAGTTTGGATTCTGGTCTGCATAACTCTTTATCTCCCATGCAAGAAGTAATTCTGTAATTCTCAAAATGTAAATTAAGAACAACCAATAAACTTTTGAGAAGAATTTGAGAAAAACTTCAGTAAATAAGTACCAAAACCCATAAAAATTTGTGTAGTTATTCTAGCAAGCAGACACCTGTTCAAAATGCAAATCTCAAGCTTTTCCTTGGTACAATGAGAATAAAATAATTTCCACAACTGCACATATCCTGTGCACGTCTCTTACGAAAAACCAAAACTAAACCAAAAGCCCAGACAATTCTACATTCCCTGGAGAGGAGCTACTCTCTTCTGCTTGGCTGGTAGCTCAGTTTCAAAGGTAGTACAGTCTGTCTGAAAGCATCAGGTTTGGTTCTCTGTGAATACTCTGACCCACAAGGAAAGCCAATTTATGAGCATACTGGCAAGGAGCAGGTACTCTGATAATACCCTGCAGAAAGGGGAAAAAAGAAAAAAAGGCAATTATTTTCAGGTAATTTAAATAAGCATGCAGTCACTGTAACAAAGACCCCTGGACCTCTGAAGTCTGCATACTTGAGAAATTTGCATTCCCTGTTGTTTATGCTGATTTGTGGAAACAACTTGACACACACCCAACACAACAGAAGAACAGATGCAATAAACCCCCAAACTTCCCAACTCCAGTGCCCTCCTGACACCTCTTTCTCAGGTTTACATTCAGTGCTGGGCCCTGCACAAGGGGGGACAGGGGCTCAGTCGTGTCTGGTGTTTGTGACTGCTGAAGTGACAAAGCTGAAGCACACCTCAGGCACGAGCTGAGCTGGCTGTGCAGCAGAGGCCTCAAAGCAATGCAGCAACACACTTCCACCTCCATAAAGGAACAGATACTTCTGCAGGTAAGCAATTATTTCAATTTTGCTTCTGACACAGAATCTGGGAACAATACTCACCACGAGTGTACGCTAGGGAGCATACAGACTGCAGTAATCTTCAGAGAGACCAGGCAACCATGAACCATCCAGCCCTCAAACCACTGCAGGTGAAGGCATGCCCGCAGGCTTCGTGGAGCTGCAGGGGTGTTTCAGGGCCTGCTGTACTTGCTGCAGGCTGTGCCTGCCAGGGAACACTCACCGACCAGTTGTAGTACATGTGGCACAGCTTGTAGGTCAGGCGCTGCACGTGGTCGGGTTTCAGCTGGCTGGTGTCGTAGATGACGTTGTAGTGGGTGGGGGCCACGCAGCCGTTCTTCACCGTCTGGCTCACCACGAAGAAATCGTACCTGCCAAGGAGAGCAGAGCCCCCAGCTGCCACCGAAAGCCGTGTGCCTCACAAAGCCCAGCTCCCCAGGCAGCTGTCTCGTTTCCTTGCAGTCACTTTGTGCTTATTGAGTACACCCCAGAGGAGGCCTGGGCTCTGGCCACAGCAGCTTCCTCTGTGTCTGACAGGCCAGGGACCTGGAGGAACTGAATAATCTTATTCTGTGGAGCAGGTCTTGAGACCATAACAACCTTAACTATTAGTTCTATCCCCTTTTCCTCCTGGTAACAACGCTGCACATGCACTTAGCTTACAGCGCTCATTTTCTCCAGCCCCTGAGCCACACAATGCTCACACTTGATGCTACAGTCCATGTACTGCAGGATATATTTCCTTTCTGACCAGGCTGCTGGCAGGAGCAGTAAGTTACCTCTGCAGGAACTCACCACTCTGGTCTGGTCACCACTGTATCAACAACAGTCCCAGGGGGTGGGTTTTTGAGTCCTCCCCCAATCTCTGCAAAGAACCTGGCACCCACTCGTTTCTTCACCACAATCACAGTGAGTCTCGGGCTAAAAGAAAGGAAAAGGGAAAAAACAATACTCTCCCAGAAAACTGCACGAGGACTATTTCAGGAGAAGATTCACTGGAGTTCCCAGGCATTAATTTCACATGTAAGTCTTTACTGATTCAGATTAAACAAGACATTATCCACAACTTTAAACTTTTAGTTGAGACACAAAATTCACATTATTTTTCACCAATCCAACTTTCCTTTAACTTCACAGAGAAGAAAATGGATCAAAAAGGGATCTTCTAACTAAAAACTGGATTTCTACTCCCTACCCCCTTGTTTCCTATACAAAACACTGTGTCTTAGCAGTATTTCTGGTAAAGCCATTAACAAAGCTAAACAGAACAACTGAATAATTCAATTTCTCTGATTGTCTGCAGTGTAAGGAAATATTTTTATTTTTCAGAGCAGATTAAGTCACTGCAGTTGATAAGTTTCAAAGCAGAATGTTGAAAATATAAGTGACTGGACAACTTCCTTTAAGAAGTGGAAAGAAAAAAAAATGGCCTTAGCAGACATGTAACAGTCAGGCTATGACCAACCAGTGGGGAAAAAGTAAATTGTCACTTCCACCAAGAATGCCCAGAGTGGATGTGCACACACGTATGGCAGTCATGTGGTGCAGGTACTAAGAATGTTCCTATTATAAGTCAAGTATCTGAAATCATGTAAGTCATCAGAAAAGCAGTTATCTGAGCTCAGGTGAAATCAGGATGGAAAGACAACACAGTCTCCATCCACAGCCTCGTTTTGTATCCCAGTGTTTATTCCTCTGGCAGTGGAAAGAAGAGGGTTGGTAGAAGCAGATTTACCTGTAGTCAGTACCAATACTCTTCAAGCAATCCAGAAATTGAGGCACTTCATAATTAACCAAAGTATTGAGTTGTCCATCTCCAACACCATCACGATACACAAAAATACGAGAGGGCAAACCCTTATTCCATTTAGACCAGTTCCTCAGAGCAGCTTAAAAAAACAAGAGTAAAAGCCATTAGTTGCAATGTCAATTCATTCCAAAAGAAAAAATGGATTTTTATTCCTAGAAAAACAGCAGTAAGTTGGAAAAGTAAGGTCCTCAATCCTTCAGTAACCTGAAATGGGTCAGCATCGTGCTACACACACGTACCTGGAAGAAGAGCTCTGGTTTGCCTGTGCACCCACAAACAGGAAGGACCCAAGGACACACCTGCTCTGCTGGCCTCTCTCACAGCAGGAACTGTGAGCTCTCCTTGACATCAGACTCCCTTAAAGCATTCTTGGAAGTGCACTGCTCAGTTTTTAATTATTGCAAAGGAATGTGGGAATCAGTGAAAGATTTACACAAGATGCTATTGGTTTTCAGCAGTATTTGTAAGGGAATGTTTAATCTGCTGTTATCCAAGTGCAGGCTGGTAAAGCCTCCCCTCAGGCCAGCAGGAGAGGAGGGTTTTGAGGAAGCTGAATTCTAAGTTCTTAGATCTGGCTCCACAAGAGCAGAACTCCTTCCCCCTCCTTCCCTTACTTTGCAAGCAGGTTTTGATTCCATCCACAAGTTCTTGCCCACGACTTTGAACAACGCAGCGGGAGAACCACCTGTGAAGAACAAAATGAAAGACACCTTCAAAGCACTTCCCAGGCTTACTGCAGTGAAGTTATTTATAAAATGTCCATGACCACTTAGTCTTTATGGGTCTTGTGGGTCAATGCAGCCAAGGAAGAGCTGAGGTTCTATGAGAATATCCCCCCTGTGGTAAAAGTGTCATAGCACGACTTAAAATTCTTCTCAACCAAGAAAAGCCTTTCACACCAATCAACCCAAAAGGGGAAAGACCCTGTCACCCTGATGCTCTCTATTCATCTCAGCCACGTCTCCACCACTCGACCCCTCTCTCCAAGCAATGTGGGACAAGGCCACTCCTTCAAGTGGGAAAAATTCACAATACATTTCATATTAACCATTACAGCAAACCAATTTTGAATTTTCCTGATGGACCACCACACTGAAGCTGTTTTTCAGTCAAAGGAAAGGTTTTTCTTACCTTTGGCAGCCTGCTCTTACCGTGTGACTGCTGGATTCAGGCTGGCGACAAAGCCGGCGATGGACTGCTTCCCAGAGACGGTGTCATGGTAACAATCAATGCCCACAATCATCACCTGCTTCAGCTGCAAAGCAATCACAGCACCAGCCACGGTGCATACAGGGCTTGCTTTTTGAACAAAGCCTAATAAAGAGGAGCTACCATTGATAAGGAAGTACTCACGGGGATCTCAACGCTCCAGAGCTCTCCTCCCATTTTGCAGTTCATCTGCAAGGCAATTTTCGTTGCTACCGTCATGATCGTCTGCGGTTTGCTCAGAGTGCGAGCCAGCACACACTGGCTGGGGATGGGGCAGTCTGTGCACAGGTACTTCTTGATGGCATCATACTTATCCTTCCGGGAACTAGACAAGATACAAACTACCTTTGAAGAAAAAAGGATCTCTGTAAGCAGCTGCATTCTCAGAGTTATACAGCACTTAAACAGTTCTTCAGTTCTTTAGGAAAAAGCTCTAGAGAAATATTCAAATGTTCACAGTGAAAGAAAGAACTGCCAAGTGTCAGTGTCTGTAGTTCAGAACCAAAGGCTCTTATCCAGGATACCCATGCTCAGTGTTAGGTCTGCCCAGGAGGATGAGCAGGTACGTAGTGGATTCTCAGGAGCCCAGAGCTGCATTTCTGAGAGCAAATCCCACTAAACACCAGTTACAGAGATAAACAGGATTTGAAATGATGGATTCAAATACATACTATGTCTATGTCAGGGGTCACCCTTTGCTGTAAGACCCTTAAATATGCTTCTGTTCTATCATCTACTTCAATCCTGAAAAGAGAGAAAATGCTTACAGAAAAACAACAACTAATAGCTATTGAAACTTTAGCAATAGCATGTAAGTTCACCACGCATCAACAGTGTATGAAATGTCACATTTGCACCTATTAACAAACCACTTTCACACATCTGCAGATTAAAAGGAATCACCTCCAAGCTTAGGCTTCCAAACACAATGAAATTCAAAATTAAAGGCAAGTACAGGTACTCAAGGGAGGATATTTGCAAGGAGAACAGATCAGAATCAGAATACATCCTAAGTCAGCAGAAAACACTCCTTAGAGAAGGGTTTGCTCAATGACTGTCTGTCTGATACTTCTTAGTTTTGGCATATGAAAAGCTCTCAGAAATAGAAGTATGACTAAGGAAAGTCAATCACTAGAGAAAACGGAACAATCTGCATACTGAAAGAACTCTGCCTTAATCCCAATCTCCCAGACATCGGCTGTGGGACACACTACACCCTCCCCTCACACAGCCTGAGACGGTGACGATCTTTCCCTCAGCTCAGGAGGGCACTCACATGTTGGGCCTGTTCATGCGGATGCCCATGGACGGGGTGACCTTGAAGAGGCTCTGCAGCAGGGTGTTGGCCACGTCGTAGTTGCGGCGGGTGTAGATGAGCAGCCAGCTGTCCATGGGCACTGAGCGGATCAGGGGCACGCCGCGCGTCTCCTTGGTCCAGTCGGCAAACTGGGGGTTGTAATCGAACTGCAGAGCAAACAGCTCGTGTTTGACACAGCCTCTGACTGAACCACATCTCCACTGCTCACAGGGGTCACCCTGCCTGTGACCGAACACACACTGCCTGTGTTCTAGCTACCCAACTGAAATAATTTGTGGCTTTTCACCCAAAAGCCTTGGTACCTTTCTAAGAGATGGAAATGAATGAGAAACATCTCTGCTCTCCCAGACTGTGTACCTGACCAGAAGGACTGCTCTGCAAGGATGACCCTATTGTGATGGGAGTGCCTTCAAGGGTTTCTAACCACAGCTTGGGAACAACATAAGAAAATTGCAATTCTCCTGCTTGGACAAAGACTTGTGTATAACATTTTCACTCTATCCTTCACTTATAAACCAAAAAGTACTCTTTCCTGCCTTAAGAACTTGTTCCATCAGTGAGACACCCAGAAGATTTTAGAAGTTGATTTATTATTTACCATGGTTCCTGATTGAAAGATCTTTTCTCCTTGAACAACTCTTCCTGTAAAGGACACTGATTTGTAATCAAAGCTTAAACCCCAGTTTCGGAGCTCCTTCTGAACATTGTCATCTCTGTTTAAAACAAGATTTGAAAGAAAAACGTGAGAAATTTGTTCCTGCTGACTTATTTAAAACTACTAAGACTTCAGAAGTTTTGCTGTGAGAAGTTTGTTATACACATTTTTGCCGGGACAGACACAGAGAGGACATTGGGGTGCCATACTTTTGGATGTAGCTCAGAAGCCTCCCCAGCTCGCGCTGCCTCTGCTCAGGCGGCAGCCGTGTGTGGATGGCCAAGTCCTTCATCATGTTGAAATCGTTGCGCATCTTGTCAGTCAGCCCTGCCAACAGCAAAGCCTTTTCTGAGTCCAGGTTAAGATCAAAGGCTATAAAAACTAAACTTGCAGCTCGTGCAGATAAGTGACACATGTCCTGCAGACACAGGAAGTGGTGGCAGTTGTAGCCCAAGTTTTCAGTTGCTTCCTGTACACACATCCCCACTGGCACAGAAAAAAAATCCTGAATTTTTGCACTTGAGAGGAAACCACACAAGGCATTGCAGCTCTTCAGCTCTGTTTTCAAATCAAAACAAACAGTGCTGAGATGTTCAGGTACTGCTAGTGCAAAGTGAGTATCTCAGAGCAAAACATCTATTTATGTATCTTACAAAATTATCATCAATTTCTAGTAAATTGCTCTTTTTCAACAGAAGTTCTACCACCAAAACTCTACAAGTTATCAGAGTGCTGATGTTGGATACCATAGCTAAACACTATGCAACAACAACAAACCCCCTCAAACTTTCCAGTCCCATTTAAATATCCAATCTTTTAGCTACAACATGTGTCCCTAAACCCACATTTATACAAACAAAACAGTTTCTCTGAACTCTGCAGAAAGCTGCTGTCAGAATACCTCTCTCAGTAGGAATTATGGTTTGACAGCTGCTTGGATATGGAAAAATACTACAGTACCTGTTAGGGAGCACAGCTCTGGAATCAGAGCCACAGATCCTTGTATGTTCCCTCTCTTCCTCTTCATCTGGCTGATCAGGACAGGCTGCATCCAATCACTAATTTCTATGTTATATTGCTGTATCAGAAATACAGACTGCATGTTAATTTACTCATAACAAACATCATTTCTGAATAATGCTGCTCACTTTAGAAAAGAAGTATTGCTCCTAAAACAAACAAAACCAAAAGCAACTAGTAACCTTTTTCAATCAGCACATCTCAGAAGAACTGGTTTTGCCAGAAAAGGCAAAGCAGGGAAGCACTATTCTCTCAACTGATGCCATCAAACTACTGATGTGTAAGAGACAACAGAAACAAAGCCTGTGCCTTGTTGAGGCATTACCATCTGGGCTATCTAACTCAATATTGGGATGCTCCTTCCAGTTCAGCAATGGACAAATTCCTGCCCTACAAAGCAATTTAAGAAATCACAAGAATCAAACAAGACTGCCAAGTGAAGTTGCTGAAATTTAGCCTTCCCATAACCTTAAGCTCCATCCTATTTCCACTGAAGCTGGTATGCACGAAGACCTGACAAGTACAGTGGGAGGCCTCAGTGGTCAAGCTGTGACAGACACACTCAACCCAGAGGAGCTTTGGCTTTCCCAACCCCAGTTCTGCACACTGTGACAATGTATCTGCACTCCTCCCACATCACCTGTCCCTGCTCACACCTTCCCAATGCCTCCTTTCCCAAGAGCTCCTTGTTCATCCCTGCAGCCCTCCTGGCCTTTCTGCCTGACCAACTTCTCCCTGGGATGGACTACTCCCACCAAACCACGCTGTGCAGGTTAGTTACTGATCTCAGATTACTGACCTCAGTGTCCTTTAAACAAAAATCTGTTCAAAATACTATGAATTACAAATCCATGGATCCTAAGTAAACCTGTAACAATGACTGAACATTCCAAGTTAAAGCATAAAACACACAGTTAAATTTTCATACCTTTTTGTAGTACTCCACAAAGCTCATCTCAGAACCATCTGATTTTCTAAAGGTACTCTTTGGATTGTTATCCCAGTCGATGTCATCAATTCTGTATGTTCTGTTATTGTACCTGCATAAACATTTCATCACTTTTTGTTTAAATCTTAACTCAAATAGAAAAGAAATACACTGGGATGACAAAGTTACTGTCAGTACTCATGCAAGCTGGAAGTTTTGCTCCTTTCAGAAGTAATAACCTCAAGCTTTCAACTGTAATAGGCCCTCAATTCTACCACAAGCTGAAGTGTAATAAAACCAAAGAAAACCAGTGTGTACTTCCTGCTTTTGCAAATGCTGTCACCCTGATTCATTTGCTAGCTGGACAATGACAGCATTTTTTGGCTTTCTGATGCTTTATTGCCTACTTCAGGACATGGAGCATAGAGAGCTCTCCAAGACAACAAGAGTCCAAGAAGACTTACTTTGTGAGAACAATTAAACCAATCAGCTCTTTAGCACAGGTGTCTCTAAATCTCTCCTCTCCAACCTGGGAGTGAAGGCTGTGCATAGTATCCAGCACTGTCTCCCCACGGAGAACCTTGTGGCTCACGTCTGCACACAGCATGATGTTCTCCTCATACTGCAGGATGGAACTGGTGAAGCCCAGCCACACCATCAGCCTGGCAAAAGAGAACACACAAAATCTTGATGTGCTTTAGAGCATCTCTATTCTCACCCCTTATTCCTGTTCACTTGCACAGACACCAGAGAGCAGTGATGGCACAAAGAAGCCATCACCCAAATATAAACAAGCTCTTGAAGGTTAGCGAAATCAAAAATATTTTACAGGTATCTTTAGTCAGCTAAGAAATCCATTTCACGCTGTTAAGCATCTCACAAAGTGTGCAGGCATTCAGGACACTTTGAGAACACAAAGACCAGGAGTTTAGCCAGCAGGACACTGCCCAGGTCCTTCCATCAGCCAGGCTGTACAGGTCAGATTAACAGCAGGGAGTGCAGCACAGCCCCATGATGGGACCCCAGGCAAACTCAGGCCTACCAACTTGTAGAGCAGGCCCAGAGCAGCCAGGAGCACCCTGCAGGGATCCTGCAGGAAACAAGGACAGCCCTGACAGCCAGCAGCCCTTGCCCCAGCACCCCTCCAAAAGCCAAGGGCTTCTGCCTAACCTGTGGTTAGGAATGCTGACTGGATCACTGGGGTTGTAATAATTACGTCCAATCTGCTGCAAATTCAGCATCTTCAAAAGCCTAAAAATAGAAAAATGGATGTCCTTTAGCATCATTACTATTATTATCATCATCACATCATGCATGGTCCAATCCCTATGCATAAACTCATTGTTCATCTGACTACGTACAATATGAACCTCTCATTAAACTCAATTTATCAAGGTCATGGACACTTATTAACAATAATCAGGTGAGAAGTTCATGTCCAAGTCCACCTTTCACCAAGCAGCTGAAGGTAGCAGTCAAACAGGCTACATCTCAGGTGAACCACACAGCCATGTACCAAGGTTAAGAGGAAAGACTACAATCACAAAGAAGGAAATTTCCAGTTCAATATCCTGCTCTGCCTGCTGCTTTAAGAGGCAAACCCACAGACACAAAGGAGGGTGGGGTGTTGTAACTGCCTACAACAGCATGAACTCCTTTCACACTAACACAGCCCAGAAATACACACAACTGCACTTTATAGTATTAGCAAATGAGGCTGGCCCCATGGTAACAGCAGCCAGAAAGGCTTAAAAATTTACATTTATAATACTTATTAGTTGTAGCCTATTCTTCGGAATGGAAAAACTTACTTCAGATATTTTTAGAGTAACTTCGTATAAAGACATAACTTGTACAGCAAACCTTCTAAAAATGATGTTGTAAAACTGCAGACAAGTAGGTGAAGTGGGTGGCAACTCATTAGTGAGTGTGACTGTTATCTTCACATCCTCCCCATTTCGAGTCCTACTGAACAGTTCAGTAACCTGAGAAAGTGAAATGAGGTTAACAAAACCAGAGCAAACAGTACTGCCTCTGGATTTTGCTCCAGTAACATCAAACTGGACTTAGCCATTTTTATTCCAAGCAATAATTCAAGACTAACTGAAATGTGGATTCGATCTCCCACTAGGACTGTGAAATATACATATACATATATACACACACACACCCTTTCAATTATGTGGGGTACTAAAATATAGAAGGTATGAAAAGATGTAAGTACAAAGGAAATGAAAGGAGAAATACTGCCTGTACTATTACTTCTGTGCAGAGGATGATTCTAGCCTGCAGAAATTAACCACTGGAACCAGAAGTTCATTACCAAATTCCTGTACATGTACAAATTGGCTTATACTGATATCCTCAATCCAACTAAACACTGCTTGTGGGACATCAACTCCCTAACTTGACCTAGCCAGCAAGAAACAAGAATAAGCTGCAAGTCATGATAAAAAGTAAAAGAGCATTCTCGTATCGTACCTTGTTCTCGAGTTTCTTTGGCAGGAACAGTATTGAGCCATCAAAGGCATGGGTCTTGCCAATGGTCTCCTCGTGCTGGAAGAGCAGGGCCGAGCGCAGGCGCCGCGCCTCCATCTCGGGGCTGTAGCCAACGTGGTACTGGTACAGAGCCCACTGCGGGCGCGACGTCAGCCGGAAGTGGTTGGTGGTCAGCTTGATCATTTTTCCTGAAAAACCTGAAATGAGAGCAGACGTGGTAACAGTTACAAAATGTTACCACATGACCACGTTCAACAGCGCTCAGAGAGTTCTTCCAGCTACACAAAGATTAGAGGTCAGTCGTGTTCCTCATCTGTTCTAGCCCCATGCTATCAGACACTCATCCGCCCTCTGGAGCTTTCTGTAGAGCCTTCAGCTGCCAGGACAACACTCCATGCTCCTCTGCAGCTACCAGCAACAACTTCTTATCTAATACACTCTGAAGATTTTTTTACTTGGCTCTTTAGGAGAAACCGAGAGCAGAAATAAAGGAAACGCTTTCATTTCCAATTGCTCACATGTCTAGAGTCTAATTTAAACATACCGGTTTTGGACTCTTGAACATGCATCATGGCTTGCCGAGTGTTCACCCCAAGGTCATGGAAATCTCTGCGACGTCCACCCCTATCTCTTAAAGACAAATCCTGGAGTCCTGAGGAAACCTGCAACCCTATCGTTTAAAAGGCAAGAATCACAATCAAGTAATAAATAACACATATACTATCATATATTAACAAATAAAAACATATAACGCAATTAAGTCTTGAAAGGCATTAAGACAAATTTAAGAGTAATCACAAAATGTTAAGTTTCAGCTTTTGCTATGTAGCAAACATCTTCCAAATCTCAGTAACAAATCTCATTTTGAAAAGAAAAAAAGACAAACACAGTCTAAAGGATGCCTTAATTGGATTCTCTCCAAAACAGGTGCTCTTGTGGACACGGGATCTCCCAGCCCTCCTGACCTTCAGGCCTCCTCTCCTGCAGGGGGTTCTCACAGCCGCGCAGGCGCCCCTGGCCCCCGGGCTCTTCGGACTGTGCTGGAGGAACATGGAGCTGCTGGAGCTGCTGGGGGTGCTGGAGCTGCTGGGGGTGCTGCAGCTGCTGCTGCGGCTGCCGCCGGCCGCGCAGCGGGCCGGGCACGCCCTGCTGGACCGGCCACTGCTGGGAACAAACAGCCACGGAGCGCACGAGTTAGGGACATTCAAACCCCTTCAGGCATGCTCATGTTAGGCACATTTAAACCCTTTCTGTCCTGTACTAAGTAGCAGAGTTACTATTCTACACCTGGAACTCAAAATTACTGGAGTGTGGAAGCTTTTTAACTTCTTATTCATTTAACTAATAGCTAATGCAAATCCCCTTTCCATGCTCTAACTAAAATTTATGGACTTCTCATTTTCTACAGTCCCTCTGATACCTCAAGTAACTGACCACTTATTCCATAAAAACATCTTTTGTAATTTTAGTGTCTAGTGAATAAGTAATAATAAAAAGTGCCAGGGCTGGAAGAACAGCAATCTTAAGCCATGAGCAATCCCACAATTCAGAGTTTCATGTTACTGGAAACTTAATAAAATGCCCTTAATAAAACAGAGCTATATTAACTGTACACCCAGCAGAATGTATGCATACATACATAAAACATATAACACATATGCCTGGTCTTAAAATATACAGTAGGTGAGGTACAAATCTCAAATCAATTCTGAAAACCAACTCACAGGTGCATCTCCTACAGCAGGAGGAGGAGGTGTCTGTCTGGGAGGTCTTCCTCTGGCTCTAGCTCTTCCAGTCATCTTCTAAAACAAGCAACCTACAGCATTAGTGTGCTATCTTCTCCTTCCCACCCTTATCCCAATAAATACTACAAGCAGCACTAGAGCATTTGTCCTGCTTTAATTTCTACTGGCTCAGCAGAACACACCCATCCCTGCAGGATTCTCTGCTCGGGGATTTCCACAGACAGTGCTCCTCCATACGGGAGCGTGGGCAAGGCCCTGCAGTCAGGTTTGCAGGGACGGGCGCGGGCCCCCACAAAGCCGAAGCTGCTGAGTCAGTGAGACCGGAGAGCACGGCAGGAGCTGCGGCCTCAGCCCCGCGCCACCCCGGGCCTTGGGACGTTCCTCTGAGGCTCCCCTGGAGACTCGGCCAGCCCGGTTCGCTACCGTCCACCGGGAGCACAGCCCCCTCCTCCAGAGCACGTGCCAGCGCCGCGGCCTGCTCCGTGCGGCCCAGCCCTGCCCATCCTCCGCACCCACAGCCCCCGGCCCGGGCCCGGCCCGGCTCCCTGCCCGCCTCCAGCACCCGCGGGGCACAACCCCCGAGCAGCGCCGCGCCCGGCCTCGGCCTTACCTCCGCCTGCCCTCGGGCCGCGCGGGGACACTGCTCCTACCCGCCTGGAGACAGCAGGCCGCCCTCCCCGAGCCCCCGCACGATTCTGTGCCCGCTGGAGCCGCCGCCGCTGCCGCAGGCCGAGCCCGGGACAGCCCCGGCCCCGCCGCGCCCTCAGCACCGAGCCCGCACGGCACGCGACAGCGGGGCGAGGCGGGAAGGCGCCCGCTGCGCCGATTGGCTGCCGAGCGCTGCCGGAGAGTGCCGAAGGGAGCCGAAGGGCCGTGCCCTCACAGCACCGCCTCCTGTGGCCGTGCCCGCGGGGGCGGCGGCGGCTGCCCCGGGATAGCGGGGACAGAGCCCGGGATAGAGGGGACAGAGCCCGGGATAGCGGGGATAGAACCCGGGATAGCGGGGACAGAACCCGGGACAGCGGGTTCCCCCCCCGAGGCAGGCGGGGCTCCCCGTTCCCCGAGGCGCTGTTCCCATTCCCGGGGCGCTGTCCCCGTTCCCGGGCGCTGTTCCCGTTCCCGGGGCGCTGTTCCCATTCCCGGGCCCTGTCCCCGTTCCCGGGGCGCTGTTCCCGTTCCCGGGGCGCTGTTCCCATTCCCGGGCCCTGTCCCCGTTCCCGGGGCGCTGTTCCCGTTCCCCGGCGCTGTTCCCGTTCCCGTTCCCGGGCGCTGTCCCCGTTCCCCGGCGCTGTTCCCGTTCCCGTTCCCAGTTCCCGGTCCCGGTGGTCGGGCAGGACGCGAGCAGCCCGGTGCCGTCTCCGCCGGGTGTCAGCTCGCCAGGAGATGGAGCAGTCAGACCAGAAATGGGGCCGGGCCGGCGGGGGCTGGCTCGGCGCCCCGAGCGCCCGGGCTGCGCTGCCCCTGGCTCCAGCGGCTCCCCGCGCCTGCCACCGGCCCGGGGTTTATTTCTGTTGACAGTATCTGCATTTGGTAAATATGGTTTGGGAAATTTAAAATCAATCAGATGCGGTATGTGGAAACCTGTTGATTCATTTAAAATATTTTGAAGTGTTTCCAATTAATGCACATAACTTGCATGTGTTTAGTGCTCTCTATCTCACAGCAATAAAATAAATATCAGTCCTTAGAAATTGTCACTTCTTAACTGCCATGGAACTACGAAACAATGAAACAACCCCTACCATAAGCTCTATTAAAACCCGTTTTTACTTTGACTACATTAAATGGCTTTATTAATGATGAATAAAACCAAGCATACCCTGCTGCTCCCTCCGCGAGGCACAGCCGCTGTGGCAGCGGGCCGAGTGTGCTGCAGGCTGCCAGTAGCAGCGGTGTGACAGCCCGGTACAGCACGGCACAGCCCAGCCCGGCACAGCCCAGCCTAGCCCGGCACAGCCCAGCCCAGCTCGGCACAGCCCAGCCCGGCACAGCCCAGCACGGCACAGCCCAGCACGGCACAGCCCGGCCCGGCCCAGCACGGCACAGCACAGCCCGGTACAGCACAGCCCGGCACAGCCCAGCCCAGCCCAGCACAGCCCAGCCCAGCACGGTACAGCCCAGCCCGGCACGGTACAGCCCAGCCCAGCAGAGCACAGCCCAGCCCAGCCCAGCCCAGCCCAGCAGCTCCGGCCCGGAGCGCCCCTCCTGCCCCTCAGGGACATTCCCCAGCACAGCAGCAGCCGCACAGAGGGAAAAGCTCCTTTTGCTGAGGCTGACCCAGCTGCCGTGGCTGTGACACAGAACATGACCCGTATTTTGGGCTTCCCAACAGAACCAGAAAAGCTCAGGCTTGGGGGGAAGCGGTCTGAAGCGGGAATTAACTCCCCAGCGAGCCTTTCCATGAAAAGCAGGGTGTGTAGATGGCACCAGGGCTCACAGGCACCATTTCACTTTCCAAGTGTGCCTCTGCTTGAAGATTAAATGGCCGTGATGTGTTTGGAGACGCTGACTGCAGAGAGAGAACACTCCCTAGCAAACACTCACCTCTGTGGAAGAGCACTCCGACCTTGGCAGGTCATTTACAGTTTTGGAGGTACCTGCAGTGAGCAGGCTTCCTTTTCCTTGGTCTCTGCTATTCCAGGTAGAAGTGGGTGACACTGTTGACATTAATACTTAAATAATAAGAATATCTCTTTTTGTTTCATTTATATTGTCAGTGTCCTCAAAGCCAGTTTTCTGCACAGCAACCCACTGGGGAAGCCAGGCTCTCTCAGAAGTTAAAAAGCAGAGATTTCCAGCTATGGAAGAGTGGATGCTGCTGCTTAAAGACAGCTGAAGTACTTTTAGCATGTGATTTCCATTATTCACATATAAATCTGGATAAATATTTAACAAACTCAATGCATACACTTAGATGTGCTTTTAAGAGCAGTGATTACTCCTTGCCATGGGCTCTTCACCCACAGTGGCAACTTTTATTGCTCTGTAGCCTGCAGGACTCTCCAGTGGGTCAGAGGTTTAGAGCTGCAGAAACACAATATGCAGATCTTTTTCGCTCAGCAGTATTTTAAGATAAACAGAATATAAAGATGTTGTCAAAGTAATTTGCGTTATGTAAATCATGAGAAAGCAGAATGTGTGTGTTGGAAAGAGTTATGTTTGTTTATTCATTTAAAATATCTGCCTGCTTAATGGTTTTTGTTTGCCAAATTCCTTACATTTCACTGCAGAACTTAATTACCTTCAGAAGGGAGTTGTTACAAGTACTTAATCAGGCTGGCTACCTACAGCAATTCCTTATTAAAGTGAAAATAAACATCAACAATAAGCACTCTAATTTTTATACGTGGGCTGTCAGACAGTTAATTAGTGCTTAGTGAAAGACAGGTTCCAGTTTGGTTCAGTCTTTCAGACCTGCTGTTTTAAACAACTCAGCCCAGCTAGACCTGGCTGTGCAGGTGGCCTTAGGGGGCTGTCACAGCCAGAGGGAGCGTGGAACAGGCAGCAGCTCCGTCATGTCCTTGGCCCAGGCTGGTTCAAAACACCAAGACAAGGTTTGGAAAATGGTAACTGTTTGCACTTCACTTTTTGTGCGGCCAAAACCCCTCCCAAACTGGACTGCAACACGTCAGAATATCACATATGAATTTGTTTCCCCAGCTCTTTGGCTTGGGCTCTGCTTTGATGTTTGCTGTACCCGTGATGCAATTGTTTTTGCCTCCTGTCTCCTGTTGCTACAATGAGCCATTTCCCATCCATGGCATCTCCAAAGGGGAAAGGACTGCATGGAAACAGAACAAAGAACACAGAACAAAAGAAAAGCAGGGATTTTTCCAAGGGCCCATTTGATGTACAAGTATAAACAGGAAAAAGATGCCTGAGGAGGTGGGAGGCAGGAACTGTACCAGCAGACAGCTGCGTGGTGAGCAGCCCTTTGGGCTCCTGAATGGCAAATAAAGAAGGAACTCCGATGCACACAGTGAGGAAAACACCACCTTTAGTGTGATGAAAAGTGCATTACAAGTGCCTCCCAAGGAAGGCTGAGCCGTTACCTGCATGGACTTCTTGCAGCACCACGCCCAGGCATCAGCAGCTCTTTTGGCTGTAACCCCACAAAAGGCACCATCTCTAGAGAGAGGAACAAAGCCCATGGTTCGCTGTGCTGGAGCAGGAGGAGTCCTTCAGAGCAGCACTCAGGCACTTGCATGCATAGCCAGGTCCTTAGAAGCCCAACGTGGTGCACCTGAGTCTCTTTAAATATTTGTTAAGAAATTTTCAAACGGGAATTTCTCAAAAATAAGCATTGGAATTCATGTTCCTGTGGTAGGTTTTAACTAGTTATGAGTCTGGACCACAGAGCTTTTGCATTCTTAATTTGTTTTTTCCTAAAGTGAGAGAGGCAAAGTTTTAAAGACTGCGTGGTACCTGAAATACTAACAGAGTTCCTCTGTCCCAGTGCAAGTTTGAGTGCCACATTTTGTTTCCTGTCATGGAGCTTGGGACAGAGGACCCAGTGTGCCTGCCCTGGCTGGAGTGTGGGGACAGGCAAGGCAGTGAGCAAAAGGCATGAGACAGAAAAGAGAAAAAATTGCACTAAGGAGATAAAGCACAACTGCATAACAAGTATCATGGAAGTACTCTCTCAAGGAGAGAAAATAAAGGTTTCAACTTTGCATTTCCCTGCTATATTAAAAATTCAGATTAGGCCTGGCTGACATTTATTTTGTGTGCAAATCCTGCATGAAGTGAGCAGAAGTGATTTGGCATAAGTTCTCAATAACAGCTGTATTGGATGGAGAGGTCACAGAACACAGACAGGAGCAAGGCCTGTTAATACTGTAATTAGATTTGTGAACCATATTCAATAAGTCATATTAAATTCTGTAAGGTGTGCATTCTGTAAGATATCCTTTATTACCCATATTTTTAACTAGCAAGAGGAGAGGGAGAGTTGGTGTATGGAGTATGTTAGAATAGAAAATTGTTTTGATTCAGATATTATACAGTGAAATGGGAGTGTTTCAGGAGAGAGGCTAACAAGAATTCTCAAGTTT